GACCTGGGCGCAGGCGCCCCCCCCCCCCCCCCCCAAGGGGGAGGGCGAAGGGCCACTCTGATGCGCAGTCGACCTGGGCGCAGGGGCGCCCCCCCCCGCCCCAAAGGGGGAGGGGCGACCACGCCCGCCGCCCTCACGCGCGCGCGGCCGAAGAGGCGGCAGCCTCCCGGCCGCGGCCGCGGGAGGGGCCCGCCTCGGGCCCCCTGGGGATGGCCGCGGGCTCTGTGTGCTTTTTTTACCCGCGGGGGGGCGGGCCTCGCCATCGCTCGGACGTCCATTCCCTGTGCTTTTTACTCGGCTTCGTGCGTGGCTTTTTCGCCGAATGATCAAGGATGCTCCTCCATGGTCCTCGCCGGAGGAAAAATGCGCACGTCCAAGCGATGCCAGGGGGCAGATCCGCCCGCCGCCGCCACGGTTCCACTGCCAGCTGGTGCCTTCTTCAACCCCAGGCCCCCTCGCGTTGTGAACAGGATCACGACGGGAGGTGTTTCGTGATTTTCTGCCTCTGGGGGCCCCTACTGGCCTCGGGACAGTCAACAAAACGAATCAGGATGAAAGACTGGTCCCAGGGAAGGGGTCCAGACCTCTGGGGTCGACGTTGCGAAAACAAAAAACAAAAAACACGACGTCGGGGCTCTGGGACCTGGCTCTTAAGCGTGCTCTGCCTGGCAAGAACTGTGCCTACCAGCACTCTGTGCGTGAGCAATGGGTCTGGGGCGCCGTGAGAACGCTGCGGAGCTCCAGCGGCCGCGAGCGCGGATGAGGTCCACACGCGCACAGAAACCCACCTCGGGCCCGCCTGGGGCCCACGTGGAGCGGTGGGCCACCACTCCTCGAGAGGGGTCCCTCGGGGTGCGACCTGGACGCGGAGGAAGCGAGCTGCGAATCGACGCTGATCGACGCTGGTCGGCGCTAATCGACGTCAAATCGGCGCTAATCGACGCTTGCCGACGCTAAATCGGCGCTACTTCATCGACTCCCAAATGCGAATCGACGCTGACCAACGATAAAACAGAATTAAGAGGGAACACCAGGCTCCCATGATTCGCTGCCGAAGGAAAGCAACACGTTCTGAAAACAGACGTTGTCTCACAGACTGTGAAAAAACACGAAGCCAACAACCTACCGAAAACTTGTTGTTTTGTCCTTGCGGCGGAAGCGAACCGCACACGCGCGGACGTACATTCTCGGTGCCGGCACTGCTCGTGAGGGTTTAGAAACCCTCCAGGGTCCCAAAAATGGCGGAAATCGCAGCGTTCCACGACAAATGTCGACCGCAACATTTCGTCTTGGTCTGAATCCACCGAACAGGCGCCCCACAAACGAGACGTTAGGTGAAGCCGGGCCAGGGCAGGGACAAGATCGGACGGGGATAATCAAATCGGGGATCTCTGAGATCGGGCGGTTCTCGAGAATGTATCGGGCGCCGCGACCTTCTCCGAGCGGAGCGTGCCGGCGTGGCCCAGGAGCGTCCCGAGACGCTCTGGAACGGATCCTCCCCGTCCCAGCGCCGCCTGACGTCGGGACCGCCGCGGCCTTCTAGGAGCGTGCCGAAGCGCTCTCCGAGCGCTCCAGAGCGCTCTCGAAGACTATATATCCCTGCCCTGGCCCCACTCCAGCGGCGGACAGGTCCAAGAGGAGCGTGCCGAAGCGCTCTCCGAGCGCTCCAGAGCGCTCTCGAAGACTACATATCCCTGCCCTGGCCCCACTCCCGCGGCGGACAGGTCCAAGAGAACGCCGCCCGCCGCAGTCGTTTTTCTGGCGATTTTGCGCTCTATATATGCGCAGAGAGGTCGGGACCGACGCCCGACGCACGCACACACACACACACACGCACACACACACACACACACACGCACACACACACACACACACACGCACACACACACACACACGCACACACACACACACACACACGCACACGCACACGCACACACACACACACACATTCCCAGACACCCGGCCGCCCCAATTTTCTCGATGCGTGGTCCCGGGAGGTCTGGACCACTTCCCTCAGGGTCGGTTTGTGGTCCTGAAGCGCTTCGTTGACGGTCCCGAGGCCAAGCGAGGGCCCCCGGAGGCCGAAAGCAGTCAAAGACCGGCCGCTCCACTTTCTTCGGAGCGTCGGATCTCTGGGTTCTGACGGCGGATGGATCCTTCATCGTCTCCTTCAGGTGCGCCTGCTTCTCGCGGAAGATGGCCATCAACTTCGGGTCGAAGTACGTGGACAGGTTGGCCCGGGTCTGATTCTCGTCGACCTGCACCTCTGAGGCGTTGCCCGAGGTGTTGGCGGCGGTACCTTCTGGAGAGGGCAATGGTGATGATGCTGCTGATAATGGTGGTGATGATGAGGATGCGGAGGAGGATCTACGATCCCAGTCGATCTACGTCTTCCTACTGTCAAAAAGGAGGAGAAGGAAGAGGAAGATAAGGATGATTTAGATTCTGAAGCAGCGATTCCGAGCGGTTCAGGAGAGAGGAGGAGGAGGAGGAAGATGAGGAGCAGGACGAGGAGGAGCATAAGGAGGAAAAAGAGGAGGAGGAGGAGGCCAGGCAAGGCACGGTAGCCTTGGTGGGGGATCGCAACTTGGATCAACTGCGGTCGGGTCTGAGGGAGGGAGGGATGAGAAGGCAGAAAGGCAGGGGGGGGGAGAGCAGGGCGGGACGCTCGTCGGGCGTGAAAGGCAGAAAGTCATGGAGGAGAGGAGGGGAGAGGCGGGAGGAGCAACACGAGGGGGGACAGAGGATGTGGGCACAGGGAGGAGCGCCCTCAGGCTACTTCGAATTCTCCGTGCTGAGCGCTGTGGGCTAGGACTTCGGCCACACAACATCTCTACACGAACCCAAGGCCCTGAAACCTAAGGACTCATGAATTCAGGGCGTGGGGATCCTGGGGCAGAAAGGCAGGGGGGGGGAGAGCAGGGCGGGACGCTCGTCGGGCGTGAAAGGCAGAAAGTCATGGAGGAGAGGAGGGGAGAGGCGGGAGGAGCAACACGAGGGGGGACAGAGGATGTGGGCACAGGGAGGAGCGCCCTCAGGCTACTTCGAATTCTCCGTGCTGAGCGCTGTGGGCTAGGACTTCGGCCACACAACATCTCTACACGAACCCAAGGCCCTGAAACCTAAGGACTCATGAATTCAGGGCGTGGGGATCCTGGGCTTCCGCTGCGAACCTCTGCGGTCCTGGAAACTCAAGGCACCCTGGCAGAATACAGGCGGCTTCCCTGTGCGAACCCCCACTGTAGATGCTCTTGGGGTCCAGACCCCCGGATTCGCCGGCGAGGCCCGGCGCTTCCCGGGATCGCCGCATGGATTCCATAATTGTCTGACCGCGACCGACGAGACCGGTTGCTGCCGATTTCAGATTCCGGTATCGGTCGCGATAGATTTGCTTCAAAGTCGCGACCTATGCTGGCGTCGGGCGAGATCGGCCGCGATCGAATTGGCGTGCTGATCGGATCGCGACCGAACAAATCCGGTTTCCATTGATCTGGAAGCCAGATGACGTCGAACACACTTACAAATGCAAACACACACACACACACACTTTTTCACTTTTTACGTCGGCGGCTAGGCAGGGAGCGACTGCGCTGGCGGAAGAGCACTGGTGGACATACGACTGCGAGTTGGGCCGCGAGGCACGGGGGAGAGAGGAGGGACTCCCGGCGCGGGCAGGAGGGAGCATGGAGCCGGGTCCGCTTAGAGCGGGGCCAGGCGGCGGCGGGGGGGGTGCCGCGGGCGGGGGTCACAGACACAGACACACAGACACAGACACAGACACACAGACACAGACACAGACACAGACACACACACACACACTCACACACACACACACACGCACACACACACGCACACACACACACACTTGATGTTTCAACGCTTTCAGCGTCACGCTCAGCCAATATCGGCAAGACGCGCCGAGAAATGAGATGCACGTGTGGGGATGCCCGCGTCGAGAAGAACTTTTAACGGCCCCGTGGCCGGGAGTCTTTCGCCTAATCTACACGCTCTCGCTGGGACTCGCTCCCACTCTGCCGCACCAGGCTCAGACGCCCTCGGGAGGAGAAGCCGGAGGAGGAAAAGGAGGAGGAGGAGTAGGAGGAGGAGGAAGAGCACGGGGAGGAGGAGGAGGAGGAGGAGGAGGAGGAGGAGGAGGAAGAGGAGTAGGAGAGGGAACGCGTTCAATGCAAAAAAATAAATTTAGGAAGAGAAGGGGGAGGGGGGAAGGAGACGAGGAGGAGCGGAGAGGAGGAAGAGGAACAGAGGAGGAGTGTAGGATGAGGAGGAGGAGGAGGAGGACGAGGAGGAAGCAGGATGAGGAGGAGGAGGAGGGATAGGACAGCGAGAGCGAGGAGGAGAGGAGAAGGAAGAGGAGGAGAGCAGGGAGGAGGAGGAGAGGGGCAGGAGAACGAGGGGGAGGATAACGAGGGGAGAGGAGAACGAGGGGGAAGGAGGAAGGAGGAGGAGGAAGGAGGAGAGGAGAAAAAAAAATAAAAAAAAAAAGGGGGGAGGGAGAGAGGGAGGAGGCGAACGAGGCGGGGCGGCAGCAGCACGAGACCAGCGAGACCACGGGGGTGGCGGCGGCCTTCGGAGCCGTCCACGGCGGCTGCCTCGCGGGGCGCCTCCGCGGCGGCGGCGGGCGCCTCCGGGCTGGCCTCCGCGGCGGGCGCCTCCAGGGGGGGGCGGCGGACAGGGCAGGAGGAGGTGAGGAGGAGGGAGGAGAAGGAGGAAGATCTCCTCCTCCTTCTCCTCCTCCTCCTCCTCCTCCTCCTCTCCCCCTCCCTCCTCCCCTCCCCCTCCGCTCCTCCCTCCTCTCCTCCTCCTCTTCCCTCCCCTCCTCCCTCCTCCTCCTCCTCCTCCTCCTCCCTTCTCCTCCTCCTCCTCCTCCTTCTCCTTCTCTCCTCTCCTCTCTCCTCCTCCTCTCCTCCCTGCTCCTCCTTCGTCCTCCTCCTCCCCCTCCCTCCCCCCTCCTCCGCCTCCTCCTCCTCCTCCGCCTCTTCCTCCTCCTCCTCCTCCTCTTCCTTTTCCTCCCCCTCCTCCTCCTCCTCCGCCTCCTCATCCTCCTCCTCGAGGAAGAGGATGCCGCGAAGGAGGAGGAGGAGGAGAAGGAGGAGGAGGAGGAGCCTAGCCTAGAAGAGGAGGAAGAGAAGGTGATGATGATGCTACTGCTATTGATGACGAGGATGATGGCGTTGGTGATGACATTGCTGATGATGGTGATGATGGGGATGCTGGTGATGATGCTGATGATGATGGCGAGCGAGATGATGATTATGATGATGCTGCGTATGATCATGATGATGATGCCGCTGGTGATGGTGTTGATGATGATGCAATGTTTGCTTATGGTGATGTTGATGTTGATGATGCTGATGATGGTAATGGTGATGGTGCTGGTGGTGATGATGATGATGATGACGATACTGACGATGCTGTTGTCGATGCTGATGGTGGCGGTGATGATGATTATGGTGGTTGTGGTGATGATGTTAATAGTGACGAGAATGACGACAACGATGCTGATTATGATGATGATGATGGTGATGATGATGATGATGATGATGTCGATGATGATGATGATGATGATGATGATGATGATGATGATGATGATGATGATGATGATGATGATGATGATGATGATGATGATGATGATGTTCATGACGACGATGATGCTGATGATGTTGACGATGCTGCTGACGCTGATGACGATGATGATGAAGATGATGATGATGCTGATGATGATGCTGAGTATGATGATGATGGTGGTGATGGTGAGGAGGAGGGGCAGGAGGAGAAGGAAGATAAGGAAGAGGACCAGTGTAAACCCAAGAGTCATACACGATGTTGGGATAAGTCCTCCGTCCAAGCTCCCTCTCCATAGGCCCCTACAATTGTTCATTTCCATTGAAGGGACTGCTTCTTTGGAAGATAACCATTTGAAGACCCTGAAGCATGCCAAAACATTGTTCTCGGGATTCCAACGCCACGGATCAACCTGACTGTTGCATCTTGGAAACCTTGAAACGTGTCGGAACGCCATTCCTGGGACTTCAATACAGCGCATCAACATAACTGTTGCGCCAACATAATCCTGAACCCTTTCAAAGCACTATCTCTTGCACGTTGATGATAGGAATCCCTGAAATTCTTGCACATGTTCAAAAAGAGTGTGCGCCGCGCTAAGGCGAGAACCACAATTTGAAAAGGAACCGCCCTCAATCCGTGAAAATCTTGCAAATGTTGAAAATGAGTGTGCGCAATGCTAAGGCGAAGGCCACAATTTGAAAAGGAACCGCCCTCAATCCGTGAAACTCTTGCACATATTTAAAACGAATGTGCGCCGCGCTGACGCGAGAACCACATGTTGAAAAAGAACCGCCCTCAATCCGTGAAACTCTTGCAAATTGTTAGAACGAGTGTGCGCCGCGCTAAGGCGAGAACCGCATGTTTAAAACGACCCGCCCTCAGTCCGTGAAACTGTTGCAATTTGTTTCAACGAATGTGCGCCGCGCTATGGCGAGAACCACGTTATGAAAACGGCCCGCCCTCAATCCGCGAAGGTCTTGCATTGCAATTGAAAAAACGAATGTGCGCCACGATATGGCGAGAACTACATTTTGAAAATGACCCGCCCTCCATCTCTGAAACTGTTGCCAACTTTTAGGCTTCACAATCATAAATAGTAAGGACATCCCAAGCGATACGCGCCCGCCCGAAAAATTGGCCTCGGGGTGCGACAAGGAGAAGTTGTTAAAAAGGAAGACGAATGGAGGAAGAGGAGAAGGAGGAGGAGGAGGAAGGGGAATAAGAGAACGAAAAGGAGGAGGAGAACGAGGAGGAGGAGGGGGAGGAGGAGGACGAGGACGAGGACGAGGGTGAGGAGCAGGAAGGACAGGGCAAGACGAGGAGGAGGACCCCCCTTCCCCCCGTCCTCCGCCCTTCCCCCTCACGTCTCTTTAAAGTTGCCCTGGCTCGAGCCTGACGGCCGGAGCTTCTGGCAGCGAGCGCAATCATGCATGCAAGAAGCTCAGGGCCAACTCGCGGCTCAAAAAAAAAACAAAGCACGTCGAACAGGGAAGGCAACATGCCGGCAGCGGGCCGAATAGAAAATGCCATGCGAGGATCCACGGGTCCGTGCTCCTCCTGCGGCGGGCGCGGCTCTGCTTCGCCCGGCGCCCCGTGATCTCGAGCCGGCAGATCCCAGCCGCCCTTCAAACAAGGCGGCTCCCCCAGGAGGAGACACGCTGTTCCTCTTCCTCCTCCTTTTCCTGTTCCCCATCGTGGGCCGTCATGGGGCCCTCTTGGGGACCTCTTGGGCGATCTTGGGGGCCTCTTAGGCCGTCTCGGGCCATCGGAAAGCCGAAAAGGCGCAAATGCCCAAATCCTTCAAAAACCTCCGGAAAATCAATGATGTTGGCCTCTTCGAGCCCTCCTGGAGGACCTCTTGGAAGCCTCTGGGCCGTCTTGGAGGCATCTGGCGGGCCTTCTGGGCCGTCTTGGGCCGTCTGGAGGCCTCTTCCTGCTGCTCAGCCCGTGCTCCTTCCTCCTCCGCCCTCGTCGCCTTCCAACTGCTCCTCGCTCCTCCTCCGGCGCGGGCTGCTCGGAGGCTCGAGAGCACCCGGGGGGGCGTCGAGCGAGGGCGCAGCAGAAGCACGCGTGGGAGAGCGGAGCAGGAACAGGAGGAGGGAAGGGGAGAGGGGATGGAAGGGAAGGCGGGGAGACCCGGGGAGGAGAAGATCGGGTCGGGCGAAAGAGGGATAGCAAAGGGGGGGGTTGAGAATCAGCTCACGCAGCTGACTTTCCCGGCGCCTCCCGGCGCCGGAGGCGGCTATGTATCCAGGAACGGGCCCCTCGGTGAGGCCGAAACCAGCTGCATGCAGCAAATTTCGTAACCCCCCCTTTCCCAATCCCCCCCTTTCGCCCGGCCCGAGAAGAGGTGGTGGAGGATAACATAACACACGATAAGATGACAAAGACCAAGGTGAGATAAGGTACGCAGGACAATCTACAGCACCACGGCAGATAAGATGGGCAATGCACTGCAATGGAAAGGAAGCTGAAACACGAAAACAACAATACGAATACAACAAATATAACAAATATACAATATGATCCGATGAGAAAAATTATGGCAAGCTAAAATGGAATAGCACACCACAATACAAAACTCAAACATGATACTATGCAATTCGCCGGCCCAATGGGCCAGAGGCGTGTTAAAATCTCCGGTAACTGCTTTACAGTATTTCTTCTTCGCGCGCGGGGGGCGGCCCCTGGGGGTCCCCCGAAGAGAAGTACCCCGGCAAGGTCGGATCAGAGATGGTTTTCCGTCTGGGCGCCGCCCTCAAGACCCTCCAGAGAGCCCCAAAAAGGGTCAAGAGGCCTCCAAGAGGCCCCCAAGATGATACAAGAGGGCTCGAAGATGCCACAAGATCGCTCCAAGACGCCCAAGATGGCCCCCAGACGCCCCAAGAGGCCTCCAAGAGCACTCTCAAGAGGACCCCAAGATGCAAAAATCATTGGGGTTCCTTGGGTTTTGGACAGATTTTGGTGTTTCCACCTTTTCGGCTTCCCGACGCCCCAAGACGGCCCAAGAGGCCCCCAAGATCGCCCCAAGAGGGCCCAGTAGGCCCCCAAGAGGGCCCCAAGACGGCCCGAGAGGGCCCCAAAACGGCCCAAGAGGCCTCCAAAACGGCCCAAGAGGGCCCCTGGAGCGCCCCAAGAGCGGCCCCTGAGGGGGAGCACGAAACAACATTTCGAGTCCTCGGTCCTGAGAGGCCTCCAGGAAGCCCCAAGAGGCCTCTAAGAGGCCCTAAGAGGGCCCCAAGAGCTCTTAGGAGGCCCCCAAGACGCCTCCAAGAGGCCCCCAAGAGGCTCTAAGAGGCCCCCAAGAGGCCTCTTGGAGGCCCTAAGAGGCCCCCCTAAAGAGGCCCCCACGGGCCGGCGGAATGAGCGAAGCGATTCAATAAGGTAATGCAAGCGAAAAAGCGGCATATCAAATTAAGACAACATCTGATGGAATAGGGTACGGCACGCGAAGATAAAGTACTATAAAAAAGAACAGCGCCAATGAAGGACGACAGGGCACGTGACCACCAGGATGAGCAGGACATTGCGACGCCTGAGACGGACAGCTGGCATGCTCCGTGGTCCGCATCCCCTCGGCGAGCTGGGACGCCCTCAGCTCATGCGCGGCGCACAACCCTGCGCGGGCGGAGGCTAGTCCCGCGGGGCTCGGGGCCGCGCAATAGCAGCCTGGCGGTTGGCGCGGGCGGTGGTGCTGCAAACGCCGGCTCGGCTGAACGCTACATGGCATCGCCTTGTCAACCGCAGCTCGAAGCTTCGGGTTGGACCTCATGTCCTCCCTGAGAAAAAATCCCAGGACCTCCTGGCCCCCGAGGGTCGGAGGCGCACGCGGCGCGATGAACACTGGCTCCGCGGCCCCCGTGCCAATCTCAGCAGCGAACGCGCACGACGCCGCTGAACTTGCTTCCTGAAGGGGCCCCGATGTAGCCTGCCGCTGATGCCGACGCCTCTGCTCTCATCTGCCACCCTCTGGCTGCGCGCCGCGGGCCGAGCGCCTCGCGGTCGGCCTGGACCACCGTCTCAGCAGTCTGCTCCAAGCGCCGCTCGACTGTCTTTTTGCTTACATATTCGCGCGGAAAGCCTCGATGGCGCCCAGGCCAGGCCCATTCCCCTCCGGAGCATCGGGGGAAGCTCCGCGATGGCAACAGCAGGAGCACATGTCACGCAGCAATTTCAGCTCTCGAACTCGGAAAAGCGCTGACGTGGCAATTCTCTGCCGCCGAAGCACCTCGGGCTGCCGACTCTCCGTCGCCCACGGCCGCGCCCCGCCCGTCGACGGCGCGAGCTGGAGGGCCGGCCCGCGCGACCGCGGCCCGCGCGACCGCGACTGCGCCTGGCTCCCGCCCCTGCGACTGGAAATGCGAATGCGGCAACTCTTGTGACTACCTACCAGACCACCCCAACCCAACCCGAAGACCCGAATTTCGGGTTGGGGGGGGTATGGGCTCCATATGTGTTTTTTCGATGTTCCCGGACCCCTCCCCAACTAGAAATCGAGGGTAAATCTGAGCCTTCGGGTTGGGTTGGGGTGGTTTGGTGGGTGGTGATCTTGGTTTGCAGACCCTCCGACGCTCGTGGCTGCCGCCCGAGCGTCCGACGGCGTGAAAGAGAAGGCCGACGCGGGGCAGGGCTTCGACCGCCCGCGCGTCCGCGGCCTCTGACCTCATCCCTAGCAGTGCGCACCGCCCAACTGGGAGCACTGGCTCGGCGACTTCCTCCTCCAAGCCCGCGGGGCCGCAGACTCTCAAAGAAACACATGGCTGCTCTCCGCCCGTCGGCGGCGTGAATGTTGGGGCCCGCGCGGGGCAGGGCGTCGACCACCTGCGCGCCCGCGGCCTGCCGCCTGCACCTCGCGGCGCGGCGCGTGGCTGAGATTGGGGCGCCCGATGCCCGAGCGCCGATCCGAATATCATCTGAATCAGGATCACCTCCGAACTCTTCGAGCTCCCATCGCATCCGTAGCCGACGTCAAATCCCAGATCAGAGCAGCTAACATCTTGCCTGTGTTAGGAACGTCTCGCTCGCTTGGCTCGGTGCTCAGAGAGCTTCTGCGTGAAAGCCACCCGACCGCCAGCAGATGAGAAGAGCTGCTGCTGCTCTTCCTCGCAAATTGAAACTCAAACGCCCGCTTTGCTTGTGAACCTGCTGCTGTGGCCCCTCCGCTGCCAGTGCCAGCGCCTGCGCTGCTGCCCGCGCCACGAGCCCAACTTGTTAAGAAACCGCAGTGTTCTGGGCCTTGCGGCGGATGGTGCCTTGTGCCAGCTCCCTCTCCGGGACGTTGGTGAACTCTGACAACTCCTTGGGGGCCTCTGCTGCATCGAACTCAAATAACTGAGACCAATATGAGGCAGCCTTCTGCTTCTCAGACGCGATGGGCAACGCGGTCTCCGCGGACTCCTTCTGCAACCCCTCAGTCGTCTTCGCGGCGATGCACGCGTCGCGCTTCTTGACCGATCCAACGGCCCACCGTCTTCGGCAACTTCATCCTCGATCCTTGCCAAGGTGGAGTGTGCGCGCGAAGTCCGATCCCGCCCTGCCGTGAGCCGTGGTCGGTGAACGTCGCACCCTTACGGTCCGCCCTTTGGTCGGCAATGCGGTTCTCAGTGGGTGCACGAATGTCCTCGCATGGAATATTCTTTGCCGATTATGCAGCCATCTCGATTGGGCGTGTCCTTGACCGTTTCCTTTCCTGCGGTCGCCGACTCCTTCTGCGTAGCATTTCTATCAGTCCAGAGCCATGGAGGAGGTACGCCGGACGACTCCTGAAGATTTGCGGAGGTTGAGGGGATGACTGCCGCGAGCATCTGGGCGTTCTGCGCTTCCATCTTCTGGAAAGAAATTGCACCAACAACGCCCTTAGGCTTGCCTCGTCCCTCGCCAGCATCTCTTCCGTTGTAATTTACTGTTTTTCTGCCGTACCTTATGACTCCCACTTCGCTGCGTTCTCCTTAGCTCGATGTTGGATTAGTTGCGGGGCTGGATTTCCACATGAACAGACCAAACTCGAAGCGCAGCCGCAAACCTTTCCACACTTCGAACGGCCCCTGACTAGCAACCCGGGGACCGCGAGCTGGGCCTGGCCCTGCCTCGAGCGGAGCCCGAGGCGCCCGCCGCGGACGCTGAACACATCCATCGCCTCCCGTCGTTGCTAGGTATGTTGCGATGGAGGACGGAGGCAAGGGAGGAGGAGGAGGAGGAGGATGAGGAGGAGAAGGAGGAGGAGGAGGAGGAGGAGGAGGAGGGGGATGAGGAGGAGAAGGTGGAGGAGGAGTAGGAGGAGGAGGAGGAGGAGGAAGGGGAAGAGGAGGAGGACGACGAGAATCATGCAGGGAAAACGTCCAGCGCGGGGGGGGGGGGAAGAGGAGGAGGAGAATTTTGAGGAGGAGGAGGAGGAGGCAGGAACATGGCCCGCGGGCGGGGCGACGGCGGGAGCCCCTGCCACCCATACGCGAAGAGCCCCCTCGAGGAACAAATGCAGCAAACAATTGGAGGCCTCCGCGCCGCGGGAGACCCGCGCAAGCCCAAGGGAGGAGGGCGGGGGGGGGGAAGAGGAGGAGGCGAAGGAGGAGAATTTGGAGGAGGAGGGGGAGGAGGAGGAGAAGAAGGAGGAGGAGGAGGAGGAGCAGCAGGAGGGGGAGGAGGAGGAGGAGGAGGAGGAGGAGGAGGAGGAGGAGGAGGAGGAGGAGGAGGAGGAGGAGAGAGGAGGGGGAGGAGGAGGAGGAGAGGGAGCAGGTTGACTGCCCACATAAAGGGGGGGGGGGGACAAGGGACAAGGGTTCAGGAGGTGCGAGAGAGGGACAACTACAACTGGAGCGGGGGGGAGGCGCCCCCTAGCTCCGCAAGAGCCGGTGACTGCGGCCGCCGTGGGGCGCTGGAGGGATCGGTGGCACTCGATGCCGAAGGTGCGCTCTCGAGGAGGCCTCCTCCCCGCCACCCGGAGGGGGCGCTGGATCCCTGGATCCTCTGTCAGCGAGTGGGGGGGAGAGGGAGGAGGAGCAGCAAAGCTCAGGAGGGGGAGGCGACGGGAGGCGGCCGTGCCGCAGGGCGCCTCGGGGTCGCTGTCGGCGTCCAGCTCCTCCTCGGCCACCTTCTCGTCGGCGTCGACCTGGCCCAGCCCCCACCGCCTCCTCCTTCGCCTCCTCGACCTGCGGCTGCTCCTCCTCTGCCCGACCTTCCCCCTCCCCCTCCCGGCATCCTCCTTCTCTGTCTTCTCCCTTTCGACCTGAACCTCTCGACCTTAAACTCAATCCCTCAGCGATCCCAAAAGGTTTTGCGGGGCAAGGGCTTTTCCACAAAGTCCCCCAAGGGCGTCGCAACGTCACCACCCTGGAGTTGCGAAGCCCTTCGAAGATGTTTTGGAAAACCCCCTCCCAGACATCCGACCGCCCCAATTTTTTCGATGCGTGGCCCTAGGGCTGGTGTTTCGTCCTCAATCGTTTCTTGATGGCCCCGAGGCGCGGTGAAGGCCCCCATGGGCCAGAAACCGCAAAAGAACGCCGCTCCGATTTTTCGGAGCATCACATCTCTGGGCTGTCCGAAAATCGGGGATCTTCTGACGCGGGTCAATCCAAACCTGGGCCAATCAGGCCTTGCAAGATCCTGCAAGATCCTGCAGGGCCCATGCACCCTAACCCGGGTCCTGGATTGTATTGCACGCCCCAAATCTATTGCAACGCCACAAACCTATTGCACCAAATCTTCTGGCCCACCCCTTGTCGCTGGACGCCCTTGTGCGTCAACCAAAAGTTGAGAGCGGGATCCCCCACCTGCGCTCGGGGCCGAGAACGAGAAGGCAGAATGAGACGAGTCTGAGGCGCCCGCCGCGGTCGCTGACCACAACCATCCCCTTCCGTCGCTGCTAGGTCTGTTTTGTGCTTGGAGGAGGAGGAGGAGGAGGAGGAGGAGGAGGAGGAGGAGGAGGAGGAGGAGGAGGAGGAGAAGGGGGGAGGAGGAGGGAGAGGGGAGGGGGAGGGAGGAGGGGAGGAGGAGGAGGAGAATTGTCTAATATTAAAAAGTTCTGGGTTCGCCAAGGATTGGCTTCCTTGCGAAACGGCCGAAGCCATCCCGACCCCTCCGAAAACCCTCCAGGAAGGGTTCTGGGAGGCTTCTCGGAGGGTTTGGGGAGGGTTAGGGAAGCGCTTTCGCCGCTTTGGGGGAAACCAATCCCTGGCAAATCCTGCGCTTTCTGAGCCTAATCGGTTGCACGCTGCGCATGTAAGCTGGTGAGAGAGCCGGGACCATGATCGAGAAACTTGTCATTCAAGAAACCTGGGCCAGCTTCCTTGAAAAGTCGTGTAACAAACCTGGGCGGATTTCTGTTGTAAACGCTGGAGGGGCGAACGGGCTCAACAAATTGGGCCAACTATCCCGCACATTGGTTAAGAAACGCTGGCCCAGCTTTCCCGGAGCAGGCTTCTTCATCAGACGCTCGACCGTCATCGGGTGCACACTGCTCACGCAAGCTGCTGAGAGAGACTGCCTCTCAAATTCTGTTGGACGCGCAACTTGTTGGAAGACGGCCCATTCCTGAGGATGAGAAGGAGGAGGAGGAGCAGGAGGAGGGGGGGGAGGACGGGAAGGCGGAGGAGGAGGAGGAGGAGGAGGAGGAGGAGGAGGAGAAGGAGAAGGAGCAGGAGGAAAAGGAGCAGGAGGAGGAGGAGGAGGAGGAGGACGACACATTGGTGCCCAATATGAGAAAGCCTCTGCTCACTTCTCCTGGCCTGCCCCTCCTCCGCGGCTGCCGCCCTCTGCCTGCCCCTCCTGCTGCCCCCCTTCCTGCGTGGCCACCTCTCTCCATCTCTCTCCCCTCGCCCGCCGTTCTCCCCTCCCGTCGTTCCTCTTTCGTCGTCTCCTCTGCGGATGAGCCACAAATATAGAAGGCAGGAAGCCCAACCCCACCATAATCACCCCGACAAGCGAAGCCGCTCAGCTAACGCACCGCAGGAAAGAATCGAACGGGGCAGGGCTGTTCAGAAGACACCCAGGGCCGTTCAGTAAACGCCAAGTGTCAGGGCCTGGGTGGCTCTTCCGCCAGTGAGTCGAACAACCTATAACCCCCCGGGGAGGGGACCTAAATTAGGAGGGCCAGAAACATTAGGAATATGGGGGTCTCTTCCTGCAGACGCATCGCACAACACCACCCCGATGTATCCCGAATGCAACGACGGGAACCTGAGTGAGGCCACGTCCCCACTGCGGTATTAGTGCTACAGGGCTCTCTATTCTCGGTGATCACCATGCCCTCCCGCGCCCTGCGTCCGTCGCTTCCCCACACACCTGGCCGCCCCCGTTGTTCGATGCCCCCGTGGTCTGGGCCACTTCCCCAGGGCCGATTTCTCGTCCTGGATAGTTTGTTGGTGGTCCCGAGACGACGGCACAGGCCCCCGGGAGGCCGAACACGGCCCAGAACCCGCCGCTCCAATCTCTGTCGGGGCGTCGGTGTTCTGGGGCTGCTGCCCGGTCGAGCTGGACATGTGTAGTTCCGCCGCGGCTGCCGCGCCTCCCCACCCTCCACTGAACCGTCGATAGTCCTAAGGCCGACACGCTCCTCCTCTCCTCCTCCTCACCCTCCTCCCCATCCTCCGCCTCCTCCTCCTCCTCCTCTTCCTCCCCCTGGCCCCCCTTTACTCCACATCCCTCAATAAGCGGCCCCCGGGGCCGGTACATTCAGGCGCCCCTTTCCAAGGGGGAGCCCGGAATATTAAGCCGGATTCGCGTGACCGAAGCGAAGGGGGGGCCGGATGATTATGACGTTTCTTGAATGGCCATTTTGGGCAAGAGGTTTGAAACTGACCGTCCGGATGGCCCCCAATAAACTGAAACTATGTTTCAAAACCGCACTCGACGGCGATCATGACGACGGGGGTGATCTCAATTTGAACATGACGGTGATGATTTCGATGGTCATGGTGACAGCGGTGGTGGTAATGATGGTCGTGACGATGACGACGACGATGGTGGCCCGCGTCTTGTCCACATCATGGCGCAGCCAACGCATATACATGTATATACATAAATAAATGTATGTGCGTGTGTGGCGTATGTATGTATACATATGGCGCCCGCACCACAGCATCACATGCACGATCATGGTGTTCATCGTATTGATCATAATTGTTGTCGGCGTCGCAAACCGACAGAGCTCTGATCACCCATGCAGTCACCACTGTGTAGCCACAACCCCATCATGTCCACCAACTTAACTACAACTACATCGCTCAACTTTCCCAAAAGGGGGAGCCGGAATATTCAAGGCGCCTCCCGCGGACGGGGGCCGGAGTATTAGAGTGCCGAAACAGGGGGGGGGCCGGTATTTTAGGGGGGAGCCGTTCAATAAGGGATGTGGAGTACCCCCTTCGCCTCCTCCTTCCCTCCTCCTCCTCATCGACCCCCCCCTGCCCGAATCCTCACTTCCTATGATGAAACCCCCCACATCGCCACCTGGCCGGCCGATAGCGACCCCGCCGTCCTAGCTGACAGAAACAGCACCGACTCCATTTTTCTCTCGCCAACATGTCGTCGAGCTGCGAAACGTATAGCAGGAATGCGACGGAATGAACACCGTTTGGGTAACCCTAAGCGGGCGGTCGCGTCCCACCCATCAAAAACAATACAAACTCAACGTTTTTCTCGTCAGCGCGGACTTCCTTGTCGTCGACGCTGCGCAAACGAAAAGTGTAGCAGGAATGGGGCACGGCGCGCATCGCGCGCGGACGCCTGGCCATCCCTACGCGGGACCTCCCGTCCTACCTGTCAAAAACACCGCGACGTTAACGTTTCTCTTGCCAGCATGTATTTTCTCTTCGTCGGCGCTGCGGATCGCGTAGCGGGAATAGGACGCGGCGCGCATCGTGCGGAGAGGCTTGCTAGTCAACATGGACTTTCTTGTCGTCGACGCTGCGGCCCGTCGGGTTGAGGAGCTGGGCAAGCGGCAAGTCGTAATGCCTCAAGCAAGTGCGGTTCGCCGCACCTCGCGCGCTGGACATGTTGACGCCGACGATGCAACATGAGAGGCCAGAGCGGGGCGCGGCGTACATCGCGCGCGGTTGTGTTTCTCGTCGACGTTGCCCAATACGCGGCAGGAATAGGACGCAGCTCATGTCGCGCGCTGAATGTCTAACCGCCCACGACATAAGATGAGCGACAGGCGTCGGACGCGACGCGCTTGCCCCTTATGTCGTGGGAGGGCGGGTGGGAGTAGACGGAGCCCTCTGGCTCGCTCGAGATGGCTAACTTGACTCATCACCTTGCTCCCACCCTTCTGCGCCCGCCCTTCCTCCTTCCACCTCCTCCCGCCCCGGCTGCTCCTCCTGCTCCGACGGGGGAGGAGGGGGGGGGGGAGGCGGAGAGGGGATGAGGGAAAAGGAGAGAGGCGGAGAGAAGGGACGAGGGACAGGAAGGAGGGGAGGAGCATGCCTCCTGCAGTGTCGCATCTTGTTTGAGACACGCCCTCCCCCCCTCCCCCCCCGAAGTTTCAAACCCCTCCCCCAGGCCGGCGTCCCTCCCGAGTCGTTCGTTTTGACGGCCCCGAGGCGGGGAAAGGCGGCACCCAGAGGCCGAAAAAGCGCCCGCAGAGCCGCAAACACCGGCCGTCGCGAGCATTGTTTTGTGCCGCCGGGATGCGAGGGCAGGAGGGGTAGAGCGAAGTCCCCCTCCTCCACCTCCTCCTTCTGCAGTTCCCATCGCACTTAAGGACCACGTCCTAGAAATAATCCCAAGCACCCCGAAAAGCATCGAAACAGCGTCTGCCCGACACGCCGTCGAAGTGCCGAACGAGTATCGCCTCCCAGGACCCGGCACGCGAAAAACGTCCAGTCTCGATACTCTCTTGGTGCTCGGAATTCTTTCAAGCTGGTCCATCATAACCTCCTCCTCCTCCTCCTTGCTTTCGTCCTTCTCCTCCTCCCCCTCCCCCTCCACCTCCTGCTCCTCCTCCTCCCGGCCTCCTGCAAGAGGGCGATCTCCTCCTCGGCCGCCTCCCTGTCGGTCGCCGCCTCCACCTGCAGGAGCGCCTCTCCGCGGGCAGCTCGCACCACGGCGACGGCGAGAAGCCCTCGAAACCCCACCGACCTCACGTTTAAGTCGATGCCAGGAACGAGGATCAATTCGAGTGAGGATAGATCGAGAATCTCTGAGATTCCGCGGCTCTGGAGAATGTCTCGGGCGCCGCGGCCTTCTCAGAGCGTTGCGGATTGGATGTGTCCTCGTCCTGGACCCGTCCGAATGTACCATCTCTGGGCCTCAGCCGTCCCATCGCCCGTGTCGCACCCGTGTCGAATGCGCGTCGAATTCGCGTCCGACCCACGTTGGAGCACAAGAGAGAAGACGGCCACTGGCAGGAAAGACGCCCCCCCCCCAAAGGTGCAGAGGAGCCACCCGCCCCGGCCCTGGGAGCCCAGACTCCGCGGCCGGACATGCTCGGTGACGGCTCTCGGCCGCGCCACGCCTCGGTCGCGACCGGGGGGGGGGTGCCCGACGCTCAGCCACGGAGGCGCGGCGCGTCGAGGCCCCCCCCCGCAGGACCTGACGACGTGGACGGCTCGCTCGTCCACGGGGTTCGCGACCAGAGGCCGCAGTTCGGTCGCAGGCGGTTGGCAAATGCTCGGTGAAGGACTTCCTTGGAGGGTGGAGGAGGGCGAGCACCGACTCGGAATACCCCTGGGGATTTTCGCTGTCCCCTGCCTCCGCCTCGGACAGGAGGCTGCTGATGGCCGTGTACTCCTCCTCGGACCGCTCCCCGCCCTGCTGGGTCTCGGAGACGGACGACAGGGCGAAGAGCATGTCCCCGGCTCCCTCCTCGGCTTCCACCTTGTGGAGGGACAGGGAAGATGCCACAGGCGAGAGGGCGAACAGCGCAAGGATCGTCCACATCGCCGACGTCGGAAACTAGCAGGGTCTGCAGAAGAAACAGGAAGTGTGAAAGTTCACGCTGGACGCGGCTTGAGCCAACTTGGAACACAATGGTGGCGGCCTTCCTCCAGCACCGGCTCATCATCACGTTTATCGTTGTCACCGTCATCGTCGTCGGCGTCGTCATCCTTATCACCACCGCTATCATCATCATCATCATCATCATCATCATCATCATCATCATCATCATCATCATCATCATCATCATCATCTCATCATCATCAACCTCACCCTTACCATCAACAACAGCATAATCAGCGTCACCATCACCATCACCAGCAACACCATCACCACCCTCACAATGACCACCACCATCGCCATCACAATCACCGCAACCAACGCCACCATCATAGTAGTCACAATCATCATCAACATCACCATCATCACCGTCATCATCATCATAACTGCCATTACCGCAATCACCAGTACCATCTCTGCCCCCCTATCACGATCAACATCATCGTCATCAACACCACCAACATCAGCACCGGCACCACGATCACCATCATCATCATCATCAAGAGCATGATGAATCACATCACCACCACCACCATCACTACCATCATCACTATCATCAGCATCATGATCATGAACATGATCATCAACGTCATCACTACCATCACCATCGGGACACGTATAATCATCAATAATCATCACAATCACCATCACCATCGCCATCGCCATCACCTTCATCACCATCACCATCACCATCGCCAACACCATCATCATGATCATCATAAGCATCAGCATCAGCAGCATCATCGTCGTCATCACCATCACGGTCCCATCATCCCCATCCCCATCCTCTCCATCCTCATACTCAACATCCTCACCCTCATGTTCACCATCATCGTCACCATCCTCCTCCTCCTTCTCCTCTTTGTCCTCCTCCTCATCATCATCACCACCACCACCACCACCATCCTCATCTTCATCCTCCCCCTCCTCTTCGTCATCGCCCCCCCCCCCCCTGCCCCCGCCCCCCCTTTTCCCGAACGAGGCCTGCGGGGACACGCTCGGGGGAACCCACAGGGTACCGAGGCCCCTGCTCCCCAGACCTCTCCCTGGGTGCGCCCTGACCAGAACTTCGAGGCAACTCCAGCCGTGGCCACGGGGGCCTCCCGATGGGGGCCTCCCAAGGGAAAAACGAGGCGAGGGCAGCAGCATCAGTGCCTCCTCCTCCTCCCCAGACCCCCGACGTCATGACTCTGTCATGCCGTCGACCCCCAAGAGGTCTCGACTCATGCCCCGCGGCGGATTTTTCATCCCGGGTCGTTTTGCTGACGGCCCCGAGGCGCGGCAGGGGCCCCCAGAATTAGGTCGGGCATGTCCTCCTGCGGGCGGACTCTGGAAGAAAACTGAAAAATAGCAACAAAAAGCGATTCGACAATCATCAAAAAGTAGTCGAGCAAACATGTCCCCAGACTTTTGTTTGACGATGTTTGCATGTTCCTCCTGTCTAGGGACATGCCCGACGCAACCTCAGAGGCCGAAAACAGCGAAAAACCTCCCGCCGCTTTTTTTTGTGTTCATGCTTCGAGGCGGTCCGGGCCTGACGCTTCCCCGGCATCCACGCCCGCGGGGCGCAGCAGGACCCGCGGGGAGCGCACCCGCCGCGGCACCGCGCCCGCGGGGACCCGCCGACACCCCGGTCGGTCCAAGCCCGGGCCAGTCGGGCTCTGAAGGATCCTGCAAGCTGCTGCAGGATCCTTCGGCTAGACGCAAGAGTTGATTACCCTGGCGGCTTTTGGGGGGCTCGAGGGGGGCAAACCTGAGCGCACGCAGGCTGCCCCGCTGCTATCGCATCGCGCTCAGCGATCTCGAGGGGGCCCGACGAGCCCGCACCAAGGGTCACTCCTGCGAAGGGTCACTCTTACGTGTAGTCGAATACTGAAGGATCCTGCGCCCAAGCCTGGGTCACTGCAACCCTGGCCCTGCAGGGTCCTGCGAGATGCGGCGCTCCGACTGACCCTCGTTTGCATTGACCCCCGTCTCGTGACCCCCGACGCGCCGGGCCCTCCGCGGACCCGACGTCGCCGTCGCCGTCGCCGTCGTCGTCGCCGTCGAACGCCGTCGCCGTCGCCGTCGCCGTCGTCGCCGTCGTCGTCGCCGCCGTCGTCGTCGTCGTCGTCGTCGTCCTCGTCGTCGTCGTCGTCGTCGTGGTGCTCGGTGCGGAAGGCACCGCGCTCCGGGCGCACCGCAGGCCGGCCCAGAAGGCGTCACGGGCGCACCGCGCCGCGCTCGGGCCAGCTGGCTGGCCGCGCGGCGCGGAGCGCCGCCCAGGCCGCCTGCCTGGGGTCGGGTGGTCTTCGGACGGATTACGGCGGGTCTTTCGGTGCAGTCTTTGGTACTGGCATTGATCTCGCAATCATCATCATCGTCATCGTCATCGTTATCGTCGTTCTCGTCGTCGTCGTCGTCCTCGTCATCATCAGCATCATCATCATCAGCATCATAATCATCATAAGTATCAGCATCATCATTATCAGCATCATTATCATCATCATCGTCATCATCATCATCATCAACAACATCACCATCATCATCATCATCATCATCATCATCAGCATCATCATCATCATCATCATCATCATCATCATCCTCGTCCTCATCCTCACACTCATGATCATCCTCATCCTCCTCATCATCACAGTCATCAGCATCATCATCAGCATCAGTACCGCCATCATCATCATCAGCATCATCATCAACATCAGCACCACCATCATCGTCGCCTTCACCATCATAATCATCATCATCATCACCATCATCACCATTATCACCATCACCAACATCATCATCATCACCATCACCGGCATCGTCATCATCGGTAAGGCTGGACCTGGGACAGAAGAGCATCCCTCAAGAGCATGAGGCCCCCGCCGGCCAAAACACTCACAAGGAACATTCGAGGGTGCCCGCCCCCACACTGAACGAGAACATCCAACCGTCACGAGTAGCCTCAGGGCACCCTCCCCGATCCCACACCGCTCTCATATACCTCGGTGCGAAGCGTGCGTCAGTGTCCTGGCGCAGGGGCGAGCCGCGGCCACGGACATCTATAATCTTTACGTGTTTATACACACAGTCAAATCTCATATTCCTAGAGGTGTATGTACACAGTGTATGCAATCTTTGTGTGCAAATATTTAGATATGCATGTAATAGTTTAGTCACAAACCTTTGTATGACATTCAGAGGTCTAGCCTTTGTGTTTACAATGTTTAAGCATGCGCGCACACATGCGTGCCTGTAGACCCCCCGACGTGGGCCCGAGGAGCGGCCCGAAAGCTAGAGCCCCTCCTGGGCCCAAAAGGATGCTTCCTTCAGCGTGTTCGCGGTCGGGCCAACCTGCATGACTAGACAAACAAAACGCCATAAAGATGCACGTCGTTCATTTCTGATCGTGCTCATTTCTGATTGTGCTCGTTTCTAATTGCTCCTCGCCCCCTACTGGCCCCCCACAATGATGCTCCATTCAGCGCGTTCGCGTTCAAGTCAACCTGCACAACTAGAGGAAGAACAAAAACATAAACGCCATGAAGAGAAACGTTGTTTCGCTCCGCGCGAATTTCCTGGATCTGCGCTGGACCCCCCTTCCATGGCGAGCGGAGCGCGCCAATGGCGGTGCGGTGCCGGAGGCGCCGCCGGGGGGAGGGAGGTCAGCGCGGATCCAAGAAATCCGCGCGGAGCGCCAACAGTTCCTGTTTATGGCGCTTTTTCGGGTACTCAGGACGCACGCCGAGGATGCAGGGGGCCTGGGAGGGCCACGTCGCCACTCTGCGAGCGGGGCGCGGCGGCCAGGGAGAGAGGGCAAGGATGGGCCAGAGGGGAAGGATGCACGGGCAACCTTGGAAAGTCGCCCATCCTCAGAAGGTTTTCGCAGGGCTATCGTTATGTCGGGCGTGTCCCCGTACGGGGGGATTTTCGACGAAAAATAATTATCCCGGCAAAGCAGCCTAACAGCGATGTGTAGGAGCATATCTGGAAGTATTCCCCTTAAGATTCAGATGAGAATCCAGTTGTAGAATTGTGCTGTTCTCGCAGTCGTAGTCGCATTCGCGATGACAGTCGCAGTGGCAACGGCAGTCACAGACACAGCCTCAGCCTCAGCCTGCCTCAGCCTCAGCCTCAGCCTGCCTCAGCCTCAGCCTGCCTCAGCCTCAGCCTCAGCCTGCTTCAGCCTCAGCCTCAGTCTGCCTTCAGCCTCGGCGTCAGCCTCAGACTGCCTCAGCCTCAGCCTGCATCGGCCTCGGCCTCAGCCTCAGCCTGCCTCAGCATCAGCCTGCCTCAGCCTCAGCCTCAGCCTGCCTCAGCATTCAAAATGTGGCCTGGGAATGGAATTCTGGGAACTCGAAGAACACGAAGTGGCCTACAGTTGGCTCCGGGCATTCAAATTCATGCCCAGGAATGGAGTTCTGGGAACTCGAAGACCACGAAGTGGCCTACAGTTGGCTCCGGGCATCAAAAATGTGGCCCGGGAATGGAGTTCTGGGAACTCGAACTCCGGCACCCGGGAATGGAGTTCTGGCTCGAAGAGCACGAAGACAGTTGCTCCGGGCATGGAATGTGGCCCGGGAATGGAGTTCTGGGAACTCGAAGAGCACGAAGTGGTGACTGTTGCATCGGCCCTCCAGAATGTGGCCCGGGAATGGCGTTCTGGGATCTCGAAGAGCACGAAGTGTGTGACTGTTGCATCCGGCCCTCCAGAATGTGGCCTGGGAATGGAGTTCTGGGAACTCGAAGAGCACGAAGTGTGTGACTGTTGGTGAAAAACGAGCGGGGCCCCCTGCCGCCCGGCAACTCCCAACGCCTGCCCGGACCCCCCTGTGGAGTGATCTGTGAGCTCTTTTGAGTCAACTAGAAACCTATCAGTCTTCGCTGTTAGGTAAAAAATCCCAAAAATACACCCAAAAGGCAAACAAATACGCAAAAAATAGTCCCCATACTATTTTTGGACTATTGTTTGATTATTTTTTGGGTATTTTTTATTTTTCGTCGAAAATCCCCGTGCAGGGGGACAGGCCCGATTGAAAGCTATCGGAGGATCTCAGAAGCCTCGGATGGTCCTTCGCAGCTGCGCCCTGCAGCGGCGGCGCTCCGAAGATGCCGGAGGCACTTCCCGAGCGGCCGCCCGACGAGGCCCGAGCTATCGCCCGAAAGCCACCTCCTCCTCCTCCTCCTGCGCCTCCTCTTCCTCCTGCTCCTCCTGCGCCTCCTCGTCCTCCTCCTCCTCGTCCTCCTCCTGCTCCTCCTCGTCCTTCTCCTCCCCTTCTCCTCCTCCTCCTCCTTCTCCATTATCCCCATCGTCATGTTTATCCTATTCCTCCTCCCCCGGGCCTCCTTCTGGGCCTCCTTCCGCGCCTCCCAGGGGCTTCTCGTCGCCGCGGCTGGACCCGCCTCGCAGAACGGGTCGGAAGACACCGCGTGATGGGCCTGGGGATCGACTTTGACCGGTCGGGCCTGGCGGGCGGGTGCCAGGTGTCCCGCCCCTCCTCCGCCACCGTCCGCCTTCTCCTTCTCGTCCCCCGTCACGTCCTCATCTCTCTTCCCCCGCACGTCCTGGCCACCGGAACTCGACTTCGCGACTCTTCCACCACGGTTAGGTCGGGCGTATCCCCCTGCAGGCGGATTTTGGACGATAGAACAAAATAAATAAATGCACCCAAACATGTTTCAAAATACTTCAAAATCGTCCCTGACTATTTTCTGGACTCTTTTTGAATGTTCCCTCTGTAGAGGGGCAAGCCCGACTTAACACAACGTGGCTCCCTGGAATGCTGGACCCCTGTCCTGGACCCGCTTCTTCTCCTGTTTCGTTCTCTGATTGTCCCGAGGCCCCCCACCCCAAGGCCTAGAGTCGCCGAAGCCCTTCGCTCACAATTTGTTGTTGTTCGCAACGCGAGGATGTCGAGATCGACCTCGAAATCGGATCGAGCGAGCAGGGAACTGGGCCCTGGATCGGGCGTTGGCAGAACTGGGTTCAATGGGACCTGGTTTAATGATGTGTACCGGGGGGCGCCCTCCCCCGTCCCATTCCGCCAACCGGAATTGCCGCAACCCGGAAAGCATCAGTTACGGCAGACCTGGTTTAGTGATTCAAATCCATATTTTGGGCTTCGGGAACTAATCCAAACCCGGGCAAGTTTGCTTGCAGGGAGGAGGAGGAGGAGGAGGAGGAGGAGGAGGAGGAGGAGGAGGAGGAGGAGGAGGAGGAGGAGGCAAGAGGAGGCAAGAGGAGAGGAGGAAGGAGGAGGAGGAGGAGGCAAGAAGAGGAGGAGGAGGAGGAGGAGGAGGAGGAGGAGGAGGCGGAGGAGGAGGAGGAGGAGGAGGAGGAGGGAGGAGGAGGAGGTAAGAGGAGGAGGAGGAAGAGGAGGAGGAGGAGGAGGAGGAGGAGGAGGAGGAGGAGGAGGAGGAGCGAGGAGGAAGGAGGGGTCCTGGCCATACCCGACTGGAGAGGGGCCGAGCCCTCGAACCCCCGGGGCCCGAGGCTGTGGGGGGAGGTCCCGCCGCCCCTCTGCGGTTCGGGCCTCGCGGGGTGGCCTCTCTCGCGCCCTCGGGGCCATGGGGGCCACGGTCCGCCCTGGAGCGCCAGCCGGAGCGCTCCCCAGGACAGGGCAATGTTTCACACCTGGGATTTCAATACATACAGGAGTTTGGATACGTGATTCATGTACGATTGAATTTCTGCAGGAACGCATCGCTGTTTTCAAAACGACGTCCCTGCATCTTTAAGACATGATCCGCACGCGGAGCGTGTACCAAAAAAACGGCACTGTGGGTCCGAGGGCCGATCCCGAAACCGCCCTGGAGTCGTGCAAAGATCACGGCGGGAGGTTTCTCCACATGTTCGGCCTCTGGGGGCCCTCGGGACCGTCAAAGCACGACTCGGGACGAAGAGCCGATCCTGGGCAGTGGGTCCAGACCTCTGGGGGTCGACGCCACGAACAAAACATGACGTCGGGGGTCTGGGATCTTCTTGTCAACTACACGCAAGAGTGACCCTAGGTAAGGGTGGCCTTTGGTGCGCGGCTTTCGGGGAGCCGCCGGGGGGGGGACCAAACCCAAGCGCGCAAGACGCTACTGTCGCGCATCTTGTTCGGCGATCGAGGGGCCCCAGTGGGCCCGCACCACCAAAGGTCACTCGGGCGAAGGGTCACTCTTACGTGTAATCGATCTCGTGAACCCCCACTCCAGGACTCCGTCGGGTCGTCAAGACACATCGATGGACGGTTTGCGCTCACCCAGACAGGCGACCGCTCCAATGTTTTCGATGCGTGGGCCCCGAAGGCCTGAATTACTTCCCTGGGGCGGGAATTCCGTCCTGAGTAGCTTTGTTGACGGTCCCGAGGCCAGGCCAGGGCCCTCGGAGGCCGAAAACGGCCCAAACCGTCCGCTCCAATTTTTCCGGAGCGTCGGATCTCTGGGAAGTTTCAGCCTCTGGGGTGTCCTGCCGGGCCCTGGGGCCTTCACAAACCAATTCGGGACGACAACCTTGCCCTGGTGACGGGGTCGGGACCACTGGGGGTCCACGTTCCGGGGGAGGGGGGGGGTCTGGTGAGGGAGCCCTTCTCTCCTTCTCCTCCCTCCTTGCCCATCCCCGCTTCTCTCCCTTCGTCCTCCCTGGAAGGGAGAGAGGTTGGGGGAGGGAGGGAGGAGCGAGGAGAGGCGAGGGGGAGGAAGGAGGGAGGATAAGAAGGGAGAGCGGATGCAGGAGCGACGAGGGACGGGCGACCAGGGCGACGAGGGAGGGAGTGTGGTAACAACAACTGCGTATGGACATGCGCGCCCCCACCGCCGTCCTACATGCGCGTGCTTCTTGACACCAAGGGAGGGCAGAACGGAGGAAGGAAAGGAGGGAGAAGAAGGATGATATATGAGGATGGGGAAGATAGAATTGGCGGCGAGCGAGGGGGGAAGTGAGAAGGGGCAGGCATTCTCAGAAGGCTCGGATGTCCCCTGGCCTTCTGAAAGGATGTCGAAGCCTTCCCCGAAGACACAGAAAACAGACACAGAAAACTAACCAGAAGACGCGAGGGGGTCTGAGAAGTCCCGCTGCCTTCTGAGAAGGCCTTCTCCGTCTCGCTTCCCCCCTCGCTCGCCGCCGAGAGAGAGAGAGGAGACAATATAAGGAGAACAGGAGGGCCAGGGGACGCCGACGGAGGGACAACGGACGGGCGGACAGACGCAATCCCAAATCTCAAATGTCTTGATCTTCCTGTACGGAATACCCGAGACCTCCCCCTAAACCCTCCAGGCGCCAGGTCTCCAAGCCGGAGTGTCTCTCGATCACGGCGTGTGGAGCCCGCAGAGCGGCCTCCACACGCCGATCGAACAAGTCAGATCGTCGGATGTCTGAGTGTCCCATCAGCGGCGCGCCTATGAGGGACGCGGACGGATGACGACGACGACGACGCCACCGCCGCCACCGCCGAAGACGACGACGACGACGGCGACGGCGACGGCGACGGCGACGGCGACGACGACGACGACGACGACGGCGACGACGACGGCCGCCTGACCGCCAGCTCGCGCAGGATGCCAGCCGCCGCCGACGGCGCGCTGGGCGGGCAGTTCGAGTGGGGCGGCCGGCGGGGGCCCAGAATCTGCAGGTGCTGGGGGAGGGTTCGGGCGAGGACAGGGGCTGGCGGCGCCGAGGAGGAGGAGGAGGAGGAGGAGGAGGAGGAGGAGGAGGGGAGGAGGAGGCAGGGAGCAGGAGGAGGCAAGGAGGAGGAGGAGGAGGACGAGGACGAGAACAATGAGGAGGAGGAGGAGGACGAGGAAGATACTAATGAGGAGGAGACGGAGAAGGAGAAGAAGGATGAGCAGGACGAGAATACTGATGATGATGCTGCTGCTGATGCTGATACTGATGATGATGATGATGATGATGAAGATGATGATGATGATGAGATGATGGTGATGATGATGCTGCTGATGATGATGGTGATGATGAGAGGAGGAGGAGGAGGAGGAGGAGGAGGGAGGAGGAGGAGGAGGAGGAGGAGGAGGAGGAGGAGGATGGAGAGAGGAGGAGGAGGAGGAGGAGGAGGATGAGGGGGAGGAGGAGGAGGAGGAGGTGGAGGAGGAGGAGGGAGGAGGAGGAGGAGAGGGGGAGGAGGAGGGGGAGGAGGTGGAGGGAGGAGGGGAGGAGGAGGAGGACGATAATAATAAGAGGAGGAGGAAGAGGAGGACGAGGACGATAATAAGGAGGAGGCGGAGGACGAGAATAAGAGGAGGAGGAGGAGGAGGAGATGGACGAGACGAATGATGATCATGACGATGACGATGACGATGACGAGGAGGAGGAGGAGGAGGAGGAGGAGGAGGAGGAGGAGGAGGAGGAGGAAGAGGAGGAGGAGAAGGAGGAGGAGGAGGAGGAGGAGGAGGAAGGGAGGAGGGGGTAGCGCGAGAGGGGGCGGCCTCCCAGCTTCTAGGAAAGCAGGGGGGCATCTCTTAGGAAGCCCGCCCGGCTTTGACGAAGTCTTCTCGGTGCCCCTGCCTTCTCAGAAGCGCGCCGCCCTCTGAGGTGGCCGTCCCCCTGGCGCTGCCCCCCCGTGTGCGCGCCGCAGAGAGGGGGGGGGGAAGGCAAGCTGGGCGCGATCGCACCACATCTGACCTCTCCATCCCTCCCCTCCCCTCCCATGGCGCTTGGTCTTCGATATCCGCGGGCGCGTGTCAAAGCCGACCTTGAACTCCAACACAAAGACCCCTTATCGTGCTATGCGCAATCGGAAAAGGGGAGCTGCGTACATAGGAAGAGGAGATGGCGTGTGAGCAAGAGGAGAAGCAGGAGGAGAAGGAGGATGAGGAGGATGTGGAAGGATGAGGGCAAGGATGAACAGCATGAGCAAGAACTGGAGTGGAAGGAGCGGGAGGAGCAGGGGGACCATGGGGAGGGGGAAATGAGGGGGGCGGCAACGACGGAAAAGGACTCTGATCTAGAAAAGTGGCCCACGCTGGGGCGAGAGCGCCATTCTGAACGACGGGAGCAAAGCGCAGATCCGAAACCAAGACCCACTCTGCAGCGGGAGCATCATGGTGAAACACCGAAAACAACCGAATTTCAAAACAAAGATAGGACAGACCACCCATGCCCAGTTCTGCGGGTAGAAAGAATTCGCGGTGATAACTGGCTATCTCCTGGACTGAATCAAGGGAGAGAGGGGAGTAGTCGGAGGTTGGGGGGTGAGATCGCAGTGGAACGGAGAGCTTACCACCAGGAAATCGGTTTCGGTTTCGTGTTCGTGTCGGGCGTACGGGCGAGGCAAAGCTGCGAGGGCGCGCGAAAGGAATGACCCCCCCTTCGCCAGGGCGATTGGGATGCAGTGGACCGCCCTTCCGCCCCCGGTGGGCGCGCGGTGGCCCGGGGTGTCCCGCCGTGGTGTGTTGTGGTGTCCCGTTGGTGTCCCGTCGGTGTTCCGTCGGCGGTGGGCAGACGGTGGCCAGGGGTGTCCCGCCTTGGTATCGATAGTGAAGTCGATAGTGAGATCGATAATGAGATGGCTAGAATGCGATGGAGATTGAGATCAGAAGTGAGATCGACAGTGAGGTTGATAGTGACACTGGCTGTGAGATCGATAGATCGTCGATAGAGGAGTCGATCGTGCGATCGACAGTGAGATCGGTAGAGAGATCGAAAGCGAGATTGGCAGTGAGAACAATAGTGGCATCATATCGCAGCGCAACGTCGTCATCGCACGTCGTCGCTGACTCGAGGGCGCGTCACCAGCATCGTCATCATCACACCCATCGCATTTGCCAGGAGCTGGTTCTTCCCCCACCACCCCCCAACCTCCTCACCACCCGAAGGGTGGTAGTATGTAGAAGGCAACTCCTAGGATGTCTTCGTCAGAACGGTTTAGGGCTACAGAGCCCTATCGACGGGCCACTGAAGCGGAGTAGCCAGGCCTGGGATTTGGTCGGATTGGGCGGGTCAGATCAGGCGGCATTCTGCCAGAGTCCTGCCGGTTTTCGACCCCGATGCTGACTGGAAGCTGGCAGGAGTTGCATCCGAAGGTTAAATCGGGCATGTCCCCTGACAGGCGAATTCTTTACGAAAAGTAAAATTGCCCCCGAAAGTCAAATAAATATCCCAAATGATCCCAAAATCGTCCCCGGACTATCTTTTGACTATTTTCGAATATTCCCCCTGTAAAGAAACAGGCCCGACTTAATCCTACGGGGAGGGGCCCCCAGCTCCTCGTGCCTCGAAACAACACAGCGGTGGCAAACTGTTCGGCAACTTCCAGCCTCCGGGGGCCGCCACCAAGCCCCGGCGCTGTCAGCGAACACTCTACGACAACGAACACTACTCTTACGAACTACGGGCGGATTTTGGACGAAAAATGAAAAATGGTAGAACAATACTCCCAACTACTCAACAAGGAATCGAAAAGTCGTCCCCAGCCTACTTTTTGACTATTTTCCTCCTGCAGAGCCCAGCGGAAGGGGTCCAGACCTCTGGGAGTCCATGCTGCGAGAAAGTCAGGGAGTCGGAGCTCCGGGGAGGGAGGAGGAGGATGAGGAGGAGGGGGAGGAGGAGGACGAGGAGGAGAAGGAGGAGGAGGAGGGGGGGGAGGACAGGAGCTAGGAGGGGGAGGAGCGAGGGAGGACGGGACGGCGCAGCGACAGAGGATATCAAAACGCATCCAGAATGTTCGTGGAGACGCAAGACTCTGGTGTGGGGGGGGGCTCGGGTTTGCCTGACGGGGCCACCATGAGAATGACGAGACCCCACCTGAAATTTGATGCGAGATCCCGCTGCAAACACCCCACGAAAACTGGACCGTCAAAATCCAGGACGCGCTTCAAGAAGAGTCGGCAAACCCGAGATCTGTCGTACTCGTATTCGAGTCTTACGCCTCCGAAACTTAAGACTCCTCCTCACTCTCCCTCAAACTGACCTCCATCCTTCCGCCCTCCCCTCCTTCCTCCTTCCTCATACATTCGCATGATGCCTGCAACTCCATCCTCCCTCTTCCGCCTCCGCTGCCTCCCTCCTCTTCCCTCCATCCTTCTCAGCCCCTGATGCGCCCTCGTTCACCTCGACCTCTGTCCCTCCGTCCTTCTCCGTCCCTCCCTCCTCCTCCGCTCCTCCATCGCCCTCACCCCTTCTTCCACATCCCTCATTCCCTCCCCACTCCATCCCTCTTCCTCCTCCTCCTCCTGCTTCTGCTCCTGCTCCTTCTCCTCCTCCTCCTCCTCCTCCTCCTCCTCCTCCTCCTCCGCATTCTCCTCCCGCATCCCCTCCCCTCGCTAGTCCGGCTCCTGCTACCGCCTCTTTCTCCTTCCCTCCCCTCTTCTGTCCATCCGCCTCCAACTCCTCCTCATACCCTTCCACCTCCTCAGAAATCCGGCGTCGCGCAGATTTTTCACGACGCTGCTCCCTGCAAGGGTCGCGCCCTTTCCCCGAATCGATATTTGACGGTCCCAGGGTCCAATGTAGACCCCTGGATTCTGAAAACTGCCCAAAACTTGGTGTCGTGATACATTTCGCACACAGAAGACGTCTGGGTCAATCCTCCCTGCTTCGGAATTTTGGCTCATCACTCGGGCCTCCGGCCGTTCGGCACGATCCAGGCACCCCCGCAACGCCCTCGGCGAGGCGCAGCTGCTGGAGAGCACTACGAGGCTGCAGAACCTCCGCGAACCGACGAAGATGTCCGAAGACCTCAAAACCCCCGAACGTCGAACCATCATCCCTTCGTCCCTAGGGTCCTCCGGACAATTGGACTTCAATCGCGCATGTCCTCCTACAGGCGGATTTTGAACGAATAATAAAAATAGTCAAAACATGCCCAGAAATAGTCAAACACAGTCGACCACATCGTCCCCAGACCATGTTTGGACTGTTCGTGAGTATTCCTCCTGTAGAGGGACATGCCCGACCTGAAGGTAGACGGGTGTAGGGAGCCAGATGCGAACCCTACCCCTACCCCCTACGATTTCTGAGGGGGAGGGTGGGGTTCACTTCGTTCGGGAGCTCCCGAACGAAGTGAACCCCACCCTCCCCCTCAGGAATCGTGGGGGGCAGAGCTAGGGTTCGCATCTGGCTTCCTACTACCCTCGTCAAAATTAACCTCAACAGTTGCTGGCACGTCATTTCGATTTCGGCGCGCCCCTCACTGTCGACACGCCGCCCCTTCAATGTCGGGGCGAGGGCAAAGATAGTCTGACCGACATTGACTCGAAAGTTTGACGTCGACCGACCTTGGAGGGGCGGCGCATGCAAGTACCCCGCACTCATCGATGCTCGGCCCCAGATCTTCCGACAAGCAGTTCAACCACGTCAGACATTCTTGAGGTTACCTTTGACGAGGGTCCCTAGGGTGCAGATTCCTGGCGGCCCCCCTAAGGAACAGCTCCGGGGCGTGCCCGACGAGCGCCGCCCTCCTCTCGGAGATGCGCGCCCGCCCCTCCTCGCTCTCGGTGGCCGCCACGAGGGCCCGGACCACGCGGGCGGCGTCCTCGGGGGGAGAGATCGCGCCAGAAGCCCCTCCTGTGGCAACGCCTGGCAGCCTCCCATGCCACCGTCGGCTCCTGCGACTCGACGCTGGTCGACGCTGATCGGCGCTAGCAGGGCGCTAAAGCGGCGCTATACCCATACCCATAGGGAGGCCGTTGGGAGGAGGACTGGCTATGGGTGTGGGTATGGGTTGTCGGACCCTGGGGAACGGTCCCGTTCGAGCGGGGACCCCCATCCGACCACACGCACCCATAGCCCTCTCCGATCCCCCTATGGGTATGGGTGTGTGTTGTTGGTTCGTCAATCGTCGGCTCCTGCGAATCGACGCTGGTCGACGCTGATCGGCGCTAGCAGGGCGCTAACTCGGCGCCATATCTCGTCGACTCCCAGACGCGAATCGGCGCTAGAGACGAAATTCAGAGGGCACACCTGGCTCCCATGATCTGATACCGAAAGGCCCTGACGTCTTTGAATGTAACCTGGCAACAACCAATACTTACGTTTCTGTCCATGTTCGGACTCCAGAGACCCTCGCCGGGCCTGTGACCGTCAAACCATGACGACTCAGGATGCCGAACGGGCCCCAGTGGAAGGGGTCCAGACACCTGGGGAGCCACGTTGCGAAATCACTGCGACTGAGAATGTCTGGGTATACACTGTCGATCAGCCTGAGCAGGGGTCCTCCCGTGTGCTGCTGCGATTCTGCAGCGTGTCTAGCGAAGGACAATGCCAGGTGTAGTGTATGTCCCCTGCGTCTTCGTTCTGTCAAGGGAGTATGGAGAGGGAGCTCGCGAACCGCAAGACGTCGACAAAGAACCAGATTCTGCGAGGCGAGAGAACAAAGAACCGAGACGACGCAACAACGAATGGGGTACACATCGTTCATCTCCAATCGTGCTCATTTCTGATTATGCTCGTTTCTAAGTGTTCCTGGCCGGGTAGTGGCCAGGAAGAGGCCCAGGATAGAGCAATTCGAAATGAGAGGACCTTGGCCCCCAAGAAAAATCCATGAATTCTCGAATAATTAAACATGAACAATGGGTGTATATGGCGAGGGACTCCCGCCAGTGGCCGACCAGGCCAGGCCCACCCTCGGCCCCAGGGGATGGAGGGACGGGCGCGTCGGTCTTCTCCTGGCAGGGAGGAGTGCGCCAAGGCCCTGCGCCGAGGGTGGGCCGGGCGGCGTGTGACCACTACTACTCCAAATCCCTTATTAATCGTCCCCCGGGTCCCGTTTCTTAAGGCGCCTTTTTTTGTAACCGGGGGGGTCCGGGTTATTGGGGCGTTTCCTTTGGATTGGAGCTTAAGGGGTCTCGTTTATTAAGGCGCCCCGTCGAAGGAGGGACCGACCGTCCCGGCATTTCTATAGGCCTACCACGACATGTTCTTAGGACCTAGAGATGTTCTAAAAACAAAAACAGTGTTCTTAGAACATTAGCCCGATGTGCTAAAACAAGACAGTCCCAGCTAGAAATGTTCTAAGAACATTTCGGGGCCACCACAGAAGGTTCTTAGAACATGGTTTGGTAGGCCTATAGGCACGCCAAGACCCTTCGCCACTGCTTGAGACTACGCTCCAGTCCTCCATCCGTCTGCAAACGAGACTCAGGATGGCTTTGGAAAAGCGGCCGCCATGGCGCCCCTGACGCAGAACGGAGCGCGCATCACGAGATGCCGGTGGCCCTCACTGGCCGTGGCCCCTTCACCTCGGAGCGCTTCTGCCAGTCTGGCGCGGGGCTCCCCGCGCGACTCGTCTGGAGGCCCATGAGACACGGTCGTGAGTCCAAGACTCCATCGTGACTCAAGATGGCCCCAGAGCGCCGCGCTGGGCGAATCTCGGGGGTATCTGAGGGGGCCCTCGTGTGCCGGCTCATTGCCCCTAGAAAGATTATTTTGCCATGATCTCATCATTATCGCGTCCGTCGGCGGTTATATACGAAGTTGGTTCCGCAACGTGATTTGATAGTAATACTGCAGCTGCGGGCATGAGAATTCGACAGGCTGGCGCGTCATAACCTACTAAAGATGCATAACATACTAGAGCTGTCTAGCTTGCTTTCTGCTGGAGTTAAGTTCACGAAACCATTACCATCTGGCAAAATACATCCCGACGGCCGACGCTTCCCCCTAATTTTCGAGAGCTATGCTGCAGCTACAGCTCAAGAGCATCCAAGAGGCCCCCACTGAAATCCCCAGCATGGGTTCCAAGACGAACAGCGGGCACCCAGGGAGGCACAACAGGCTGCCCAACGAGGGGGCCATCATGACCATGAGGGCAGCACTGACACCTATATAAGCATGTGTTTATGCATTGTGAATGTACGTGTGCGAAGTCTCAAGTGACCATACTTATACCGATATTCTGTACATTCACCACGGTTGGGTCAGCGCCCTCTGCTCCCGCCTTAGACGGCCTCATGACCCCAAGCAGGTCCCCGAGAGACTCTCGAGAGCAGCGCAGCAGTCCTGCAAAGGCCTCAGGAAAGCCCCGAGCAAACCACAAAACGACGTACATCCTGGGAACACGCAGTATTCCCAACCGGATGAGTTTCCAGGAGCAGTCCATATACGCTCTCCAACAATAGCTGGGGACGCTTGGTGGGAGACATCGTTCCACGTGCTGCGGCCTCCGCCCGCAAGCAGCGCACGGCATACAAAAAGAACCCGTTCAACGCCTCCCGATGCCTGGAAACCTATCCTCATCTTCCGCCACCTCCAGAGATCCGTCTGTGCTCTCCTCATCCTCCACCTCGTCTTCGCCTCCTTCTTTTTATTAAAAAAGAAAGAAAACGAAAACATACAGGCGGACACATTTCCAGAGGTTCGCGCGGATTCCTTGGGGCCGGCGAGAAAAGCCCCCGCCTCTGGCGCGCGGGGGGCGCGCCAGAGGCGGTGCGCTGGAGGCGCCGCCAAGGGGGTGGAGATCCCGCGCCGATCCGAGAGATCCGCGCGGACCTGCGGAAACTCAGATTGATGGTTATGATGCTTTCATCTTCCGAGGATGTAGAGGCCTCCTAGATGGGGTCCGAATAGATGGGGTCGAAGGATCGCGACGCATCGCCAATGCATCGCCGATGTATCGCCGATGCATCGGCGATGCATCGGCGAAGTCGGCGATGCATTGGCACCATTGACGTGGCGAAAGTCGGGCTCCGCATCGAGCGGCATCGCCGATGCATCGGCGATGCGGCGCAGTCCTTCGACAACGTCTACACCGACCCCATCTTAGAGGCCTGGAGGATAGCAGGGGGGGATCGAACCAGCTGCACGAACCTGGTTTCCCAATGCGCCTCGTGTCGAGGAGATGCACCGAGGAGAGCGCTCGGCGCCGGGGCCGAACCCAGTTGCGTGCGGCAGAGTTCGAGCCCCCCACGTCTCCTTCCCGATCCCCGTGAGGTGATCCGCCAAACGAGGTAAAGGAACCTTTACTTGGAAAGTGTACGCAATCACATACAGAGCGGTCGAATCAATGTTCATACTTCCACAAATCCCGACCACATGGGCGGGGTCACGGGTTCCGCCAGTGACAGCTCGGAGCTCGTGCACGTCAGGTACTCGTTCTGGGGACCTTCCTGGAGTCACTCGCTCCACTCGTGCGTCGAAGCTGCGTCGAACGTCCGTCGACTCGAGTTGATTTTGAGTCGAACCTGAGACGAATCTGAGTCGAGCCCGAGTCGAACCTGAGTCGAACTGGGGTAAAACTGACGTCAAACAGATCTGTTAGGTGGGCGCCCCAGGAAGATTCCCGAAACGAGCATCTGATGCATGGGTGGCGCGGGGCTCCGCAATCCTCCGGCGTCTCGACGGTGGCGAACACGGCAAGCTCGTGCCAGGGCAACTGCCACGCGAACGGCACGCTCACATGCATGGGCGTCACGGCGACGATGACCGGCAGGCACCCGCGGGACATCGCGTCGTAAGCGCGACGGCCCAGGTCGTAGATGTGGCCGGGGAGCACCAGGCAGAACTGGGAGCGTGCGTACAGGTCCCCGATAGCCCCGTCGGAGGAGCCCGACCCCGTGCCGTTGCCACCTCAGGGGCGAGGATGCGAATCGACGAGGACGGTCGCCCGGTCAGCGGCTGAGCACGCCATGCCTGCCACAACTCAGCTACTAGCACGTGCTGCCCGTGCGCTGAGCAAAAATCTGCTCGGAGGTTGGACCTGGCGACCCTCCGAACCGCGATTTTCTGTGAACTTCGGGGCGTCAGGGGCGGGGGCCAAGGCGAAGATCTAGCAGAAGGAGCCAGAGGCCAGCTAATGGCGGCGCGCCCAAGGTGAAGGGAGGGGGGTCGGCTCTCTCAGGAAGAGAGCGGGCTTCTTAGAAGCCCTTCTGTCTCCTACGGAGCCTTCCGAATCTTCTCGGATGGCCTCTCCAGGGACGGACGGGCTTCTGCGAAGAAGGCCACCCCCGAGCGCCGAGACGGCGAGCCCCCTCTCCCTTCCCCCCCTAGGCACGTGTGTGCAGACAAAGCCGTGCTGGGAGTTCCTCCGGAGGTCCCGACCCCTTCCACGGTACCGGTTCCACAGCCCGAGCCGGCTCTTCACGGTCCCCAGGCCCAGTGTCGGTGACAACTCCAGGGAGCGTCCCATACCATGTTGTTGGCAGTTGCGAATCATCGCTACTAGGCGCTCACTCACACCAAATCGACGCTAATCGTAGGTAAAGCATGTTCTTTTTATATACATATGTATGACAACTATTGAACAATATTCCTCCTGTAGAGGGACGTGCCCGACTTAACGCTAATCCATCCCCCTCATCATCCCGGACCTTACATCCTAACCTTCCGCCCCTTTTTCGATAAGATCCATGCGGATGCCCTTGAACTGCGTAAGGTTTCCATGACTTTCTGGAGGTGAAGGGATCGACGCGAATCGACGAAAATCGGCGCTAGGTCGACGCTAAACCGGCGCTATCTCACCGATTACCAGGCTCTAATAGACGCCAACGCTTTCTACATAAGAAATGACGAAGGTATACGAGGCTCCCATCCATGACTTCTCCACGACCCGCGGAAAGGTGGCTCTGGGGGTCAACAATCAACCTGTGGACCTTTCCAGGGGCGCGCTCTGACCAAAATCTCGAGGGACACCTAGCCGGGGCGACCAGAGGCCTGCGGAGGCAGAAAAAACAGAAACCCTCTTCGATCGAACCCGATCGTGCTTTGCGTTTTGCTTTCCAGCGATAGCCCGGCTTATCCGGTGGAAGGGGCGGGAAGAGGGGGCCGGCCGACAACCTGACCTCTTCGCTGTGGGCAGCCCCGCGTATGCCCGTGCGCGCCAGCACTGCGCACTCGTCGGACCTGCGCCCCCGACACGGTCAGGTCATCGGGGCGGGGGGCGGGGGGGCGGGCGGCCCGATAACCCGTCGTGTCGCCAGACCCTACGAAAACAGTCTCAGGTTCGATCGTCGAGCCGCTCGGAGGCATTCCTCCCTCGGGGGCACTCTTGGCCGCCCAGCCCGCCAGCTCCCAGGGCCGCAGCGCGCGCAGCCTCCCCGCTCCCGCCGTCCGGGAGGATCCGGATGTCCACGCGCGGGTCACCGTGCGCACCCCAGCGCTCGTCGGCGTACATCTCCCGGAAGATGCGCCGCGCGCGCGAGTTCTCGCTGGCAAGGCTTCCCAGACCCCCGTCGTGATTTTTTCACAACGTCCACCCCCAGACGTCTGGACTGCTTCCCCAGAACTGGTTTTTCATCCTGAGTCGTTTGTTGACGGTCCCGAGGCCCGGGAAGGGTCCCCCGAGGCCGAACATTCTGACAATCCCGATGCCTGGGAAGTGTCCCCGGAGGCCGACACTAGCGAGAGACCTCCCGTCGTGATTTTTGTCACCACGCGAGGGGGTCTGGGTTCGGGCCGCTCACAGGCAGCTCCCGCGGCCAGGCAGTCCCGGCTGGCCTCAGGTCGGGCATGTCCTCCTACAGGCGGATTGTGGGCAAAACTGAAATACAAGTAAAAACAAACCAGAAACAGCCGAAAACAGCAAAACAATCGTCCTCGCACTATTTTCTTTGGCCATTTTCTAAGATTCTCCTGTAGAGGGACGTGCCCGACTTAGGGCTGGGGGAGGAGGAGGAGGACGAGGACGAGGAAGAGGAGGAGGAGGAGGAGAAGGAGGAGGAGGAGGAGGAGGAGGAGGAGGAGAGGGGGAGGGGAAGCGGGGAGGGGGAGGAGGAGGAGGAGGAGGAGGAGGAGGAGGAGGGAGGAGCCCTGCCTCCAAGGAACAGGCCCCCCGAGCACGCTGGGGCGGCATCCACAGCCCTGCCCTGGGGCGCGGAACGCCCCTGGGGCACCGCCTGAGGCGGCGCCAGGGTGCCGAGACCGCCCCAGGCTGCTCGGGCTCCTGTTGAGGCAGCCGGGCTCCTCCTCCTCCTCCTCCTCCTCCTCCTCCTCCTCCTCCCTCCTCCTCTCCTCTTCTGTCCCTCCTCCTCCTCGTCCTCCTCCTCCTCCTCCTCCTCCTCCTCCTCCTCCCCTCCTCCGCTTCCCCCTCCCCTCCCCTCCTCCTCCTCCTCCTCCTCCCTCCCTCTCCTCCTCCTTTCCTCGTCCTCGTCCTCCTCCTCATCCCCCCCCCTATTCGCCTCCCCCTCCTCCCTCCCTCCTCCTCCCCCTCCTCTCCTCCTCCCCTCCTCCGCCTCCTCCTCCTCCTCCTCCTCCACCTCCCCTCCCTCCTCCTCCACCTCCCCCTCTCCTCCTCCTCCTCCTCCTCCTCCTCCTCCTTCTCCTCCTCCTCCTCTCCTCCTCCTCCTCCCTCCTCCTCCTCCCTCGTCCTCGTCCTCCTCTCCTCCCCCCCCTTCGCCTCCCCCCCCCCTCCCCCTTCTCCTCCTCCTCCTCCTCCTCCTCCTCCTCCTCCTCCTCCTCCTCCTCCTCCTCCTCCTCGTTCTCCTCCCCCTGCCTGCGGGCGCTGTCTGTGCGCAGTCCGAAGCCTGACCAGTTCTCGCTGCCCAAGAAAGCCACCGCCACGGGCCGCTCGTGGGAGGCGTCGGCCAGGTCCGCCAGCCGCTGGCAGTCCAGCGCGACGGGGAACGGCACCGTGATGAATCTCAGCAACCTGTACATGGCCGCTGGCTCGAAAGCGAAATCGGGGTGGCCCAGATCCCGGACACCTCCGGCCAGGACCATGACGTTGCCAGCGAAAGGGTGGTAGACTGTGACGTCGCATTCCATTGTGCCGCATATGGAGTACGGGTGGCACGTCCCTGCGGAGATGAAATGGTCGTAGCCAGCATTCCGCAGGAAGATCCGCTCGGGCAAGCCATGCCAAGTCTCAGAAATACAGTTGAGATGTGCCGTGTCCTGGGTGTCGAGAAAGCGCTCGACCAGCAGACCGAAGAAAGCGGGGATGTAGAACACCGTGGCCTCCGCCTCGTCCGCAACCACCGCACCGGAGTCCAATTTTGCCGCCTGGGGCCCTGTGCGCTCCTCAACCCACGGGGCGCAAACATCACGGGACGCAGCCAGCACGCGACCACAACAATACAAACAAACACAAAAAGGTAACAACAAACACAAAAAAGTTACAAACAAAAAACAATACAAGCATACAACCAACACAAAACAAAACGTAAAGCCAAAACAATCCAAAACAAAACAAAACAAAAAAAAAGGAAGAAATGCCTCCTCAGGGGCGGCCACTCGCAGCCGCAAGGCCTCAAGGCCTGGCAGCAACCCCACCTCAGGTGGCTGCAAGTAGACCACAGACACAACGAGGAAGAGGAGGTACGAGGAGCGGCATCGGAACGATCCTAATGAGGCTGATGAGGATGCTGATGGTGATTGCACCGAGGCGAGGACGGGATGAGGAGGGCGACGAAGAGGGAGGGGAGAAAGAGGGGCACTGAACGGCATCAGGGGAAGTATGGCTACGTAGCGGGAAGATCAGGAAGCAGGGAGAGGCGCTGATCAAGGGGAGGAGCAGAGGGAGGAACATAACAAGGAAAGGAAGCAGGCGGAGGATAGGATAGGTCGCTTCTGGGAGAGGCAGGTGAGGATACGCCGCACGGCTCGAAGCGCCAACAATTGTTCAATACACTATCTCACAATGTCACAGTGTTGATTGCGATGCTGAGAATATTGGATCACTGTCTCACTAGATGTATCCCACTGTCTGACGAAACCATATAGCTGACAATGTATGTCGAGATGCTCATGGACATTTGCTCGCGCACAGATGTCAAACGAATGTGCGCTTTGAACATGTACGTGACATGCTTCCATATATTCCTGCGCATTTCGACCCCGAGTACGGCCGCAGATGCACGTGGGAAAAAACAAGCTAATTATGTCGGCGTGGGATCCCGAACAGTGACTCTGCGAAATAATTGAAACGTATTCATGTGATGCGATATATGGGGACCCCACAGTGTGGGACCCTTCCGTGTGGGGCCATATCGTTTGGGACTCTGTCGTGTGGGACCCCATCGTGTGGGACCTTACAACTTGGGACCCTATCACAGGGGACAACATCGTGCGGGAATCCACCGTGTGGAAACCCATGGTGTGGGACCCAACCGTGTGAGCCGATCGTCTTGGAGCCAATCTTGCGGGACAAACTCTTCGTGTGGAATGCTACCGTGTGAGAAGAGAACGCGCGGGGAGCCATCGTGTGGGCCCCGATGCGTGTGGGACACCACGATGTGGGTCCGACCCTGCCGCGCAATACCTTATCATGGGCGATCCAATGGTGCGGGACCAAATCGCGTAGGCCCCTGTCGTGTGGGAACGTGGTGTCGGACCTCATGTTGTGGGACCCTGTCGCGAGGGAGCCCGTGGTGCAGGGTCCCATCGCGCGGTACCATATCGTGAAAGACCCCCGCGCGAGGGACCCTCCACGTGTGAGCCAGTGTCATGCGGGGCCCCATCGTCAAGACCCCCACCGTAAGGGCCCCCACACGTGCAGAATCACATCGTATGGAACCCTCTCGCGCAGGACCGGGTAAATTTTTTGAGGCCCCACGGTGTGGAATCCTACCGTTCGGGATACCTCCGTGCTGACCATGATGTCCTGCCGATATGTTTCGAAGACAGCAGCAACAACATGCAAATGCTCATGCAATTTTTTGAATAGGGACCCGCCGTAACGCATCCTATAGGCCTGCCACGAAGTGTTCTCAGAACAAAAGAACGCTCCAATAACAAAAACAACTGTTCTTAGAACATAGAGTAGGCTGGTTCACATAACTAGCCCCATCTGCAAAAACTGTGTTCTTAGAGCATACATCGGGTTGGTTTGAACAGGACAGTCCAAGCCAGCAGTGTTCCAACAACGTGTCGGGCAAACCTCAATTGATCTCATCACACTGTTCTGGTAGGCCTGACGGCAGCGCAAAAGCCAGACAAGGCAGTCCAAGCCAGGAATGTTTTGAGAGCACTTCGTGCAGACCACACCTGTTCGCAGAACTCTCTCTGGCAGGTCCGCAGGCAGCGTGAGCGCTTGTGCGGGGACAAGGCGCCCGCCGAGACGCCGCGCAGAGGGCCCCAAGCGGCGCTACCGCGCGGTGCACCGCGGCCGCGTGCTCCGCGTGCAGGCGCAGCGCCTCGATGGGGGGAGGACATCGGCGGGGGGGGGGCTCGGGTCCGGGCCTCGCTCGATAGGGCCTCGCCCGATGGGGCCTCGCTCGATAGGGCCTCGCTCGATAGGGCCTCGATCGCTCGATAGGGTCTCAGAACGTGTGTCAGCACCGACGCGTGCGATGCCCACGGGGGTCCTTCCGTACGAAGCAGGCGGCGCAACGAGGGCCGACACGGGCTGCGCGGTACCCGCGGAACCGAAGTGAGCAAGCGCACGCGTTGGCTAATGCACGTCCTGAGGACCATCGATCGACAGGCCTCGCTCGGTTTGGAGCCAGCCCGGGGTCTGCAGTGACCCAGCACCAGTGCCCGCCAGGAGGGGGGGGGCGTAAGTAAGTTCGAGGTTCTGGGCCCGGCAATGTTCTGCTCCCTCGTTCTACCTCTGGTGGCCGCTTTCGGGCTCCAGGACGGTCAAGAAGGATCCGGGGTTGGAAACTGCATTACATGGAACCCAGGGACCGAATATTTTTCTCTTCGTTGCTTCTGCTTGACATCGCTCGAGGGTCTCTTGAAATCTGCTTGAAATCGCTCGAGGGCCTCTCGAGCGCGCCAAGATATGGCAAAATGCACGCGGGGCAAAGATGCCGCTAGGGTGTGGGACCCTGCGCGAGCACTTGCGCGTCTGCGTGCAACTAGAGCCATCAAGAAGCAGCTCCCCAACGGAACTGAGATGGGAGCCGCGGCTCCGAGCCTCGGCGCTGGGCGGCCCCCGAACGCAGGCAGCACCGAGCGGCCGCGCCGCAAACGATGAGCGATCCGGCAGCGAGGCGACCCGAAGCGTCCAGCGGCGGCGAGCCGCACCCCTATGCCCACTCATATCCGCCCCCCCCACACCTCCTCTGTTCTGCGATGCGCTGCCTGGTGCGAAACATGCATGGGGACGCCGGCTGCCTCACGCCGCTTGCGCCGCCAGCGCTGCCGCGGCGAGGCCGGGAAGAGCAGCGAGGCCGGCAAGGGCGGCGCTGGGCCGCGCGAGGCTGGCGGGCGCCGGCAGCCCGCCGGACGAGCCGCAGAGGCCGTAGTTGTAGACGCCCGAGCCGCCCACCGCTGTGCCCCAGGCGAGCGCGCCGTCCGCGATGTCGTCGTCCGTCGCGGAGGAGCCGAGGGTCTCCCAGCTGCCACCCACGATCTTGTATGTGGAGCAGTATTCCACGCTGTTCGAGGTGGACTTGGAGTAGCCGTAGCAGTCGTCCCCGTAGTCGCTGGTCGTCGGACAGCAGCCGCCCAAGGTCATCTTGGAGCCGTCCGCGTCCGAGCACGTGAAAGCCGGGTTTACCACGAAGCATTTGCCGTAATCGCAAGTCGTGCCCGTGCTCATGCCAGACCGCGATCCATCATCGTTCAGGCCGCACCTCACCACGCCCTTGTGGTACTCTGTGCTGGACCCGAGCGCGATGCCCGGGGTGTAATCGGTCGGGCAGCATCCATCATCGCCGTAATCCGCGACTTCCACCTCGTCGTCGACTCCCATCGTGTTCCAGTCCGAGATCTTGACACACTTAGTGAACTCTGCCCCAAAATCGTAGTCGGAAAACTTCACGGTCTCCGCCGCGGCCACGGCCGCGCACCCGGCGACGAGCAGAGCACGCGAGCTGGGCGCCATGGCGAATGGGAGGTATCTGGGACGGCGCCGAAAGGCTCTGCAACCTCGTCTGCCGCAGCACGCGCCGAACAGCTGGAGCAAAAATGGCTACGGCGGAATCCAGGGGCCGATTCTGAGTGGAGCTGGCCCCACCCTTCCCGCCGCTCCCCAGCGATTTCCTGGAGTCCCTACCAGTTCAGACAGATCCCAGGGCCGCCTCCAACGCTCGGCAAATTTGCACGACATGTTCGTGGGCAGGCATGCTTTCAGGCATCGGCTTTGTGCTGAGAGCATGGTTTCTGGTGTTATGGAGCCCTCGTCGCATGCTCCAAAAACAGGCCGTGGCAGGCCTAGAGTCCTATAAGAATGCCGGGGCGGTCGGTCCCTGCTCAACTCTCACCCTCTCGCTCGCCGCTAGGCCTTGCTCGATGGGTCTTCGGACGTCTTCGTTCTCGCTCACCCCTCCCAGTTTTTGTCCAGTCTCGGAGTGCTCTCCAGCAACTGCGCCTGGCCTTTCTGCGTTGCAGGGGTGCCCGAGTCGTTCCGCGCGGGGGCTGGCAACTGCTTCCAGCCCCGGGCTCCTCGTAGCGCACGTCGGCACGGCCCTGTCCCCTGGACCGGCGCCGCACGTGCGACGGTGCAGTGCAGGACTAGCAGAGCCTCGCCTCCCCCGTGGCTGATGATGATGATGATGATGATGATGATGATGATGATGATGATGACGATGATGATGACGATGATGATGACGATGATGCTGACGATGATGATGACGATGATGCTGATGATGATGATAATGATGATGCTGATGATGATGCTGATGATGATGATGCTGATGCTGATGATGATGCTGATGATGATGCTGATGCTGATGCTGATGCTGATGCTGATGCTGATGCTGCTGATGATGATGATAATGATAATGATAATGATGATGATGATGATGATGATGATGATGATGATGATGATGATGATGATGATGATGATGATGATGATGATGATGATGATGAGAATGATGGACTGGCGCCGCACGTGCGACGGTGCAGTGAAGGACAGCGAAGCATCGCCTCCCCGTCGCCAGACCCTTCTGACCACGGCAGCAGACGGCCAGGCGGCACAAGCGCTTCGCACTCCGTCTCCACAGGATGACGGCGCGCCTCTCGGGTGGGATCAGCCCTGCCCTCGACCTGGGCAGCTGGCACTAGCCGCTCACCTCCTGTTGGCGGCGCGCCCGGGGGGGAACTGAGACTTGGCATCGTCTAATCGATCCCTATCCCCACCAGTGTGGCCTGGGCCACACTGGCCGATTTGCCCCCCTAGATGGGGATATAGGCTGCTCCCTTCGGGCTTCGAGGTGTATATCCCCAACTGGGGTGGCGAGATGGTGGGGTTCGGGATGGGGATAGGGATGGGGATCGGTTAAACGATACTGAGAGAAGGGGCGGGCCTCCTCAGGAGGCTTAGAAGTCCCCAGGCCTTGTGAGAAATAGTCCAAGCCTTCCCCGAAGACACAGGCAACTTCTCGGGAGGCGCGATGGCTTCTGAGAAGTCCCGCCGCCCTCTGAGAAGTCGGGGGCGCGCACACGTGGATTGGCGATCCATGGATTTGGCGCGCCGTCGCCAGATCCATGGATCGGGGGAGGCGCCCTCCCCAGAAGGCGGCCGGTGCAGCCTCGCTGGGCGGCGGCAATCCAGGATTCCCCACGAACACGGAACCCGTCGCTAATCCACGCCCCCCCAATCCAGGTTTGCGATCGCCCGAAGAAGGCCCTCTCCTGATGACTTCCCCCCCCTCGCTCGCCGATCCGGCCCTGGCATGCCTCGGCTTCCGGTGCCCGCGGCCGCCTCTGCGCACTCCTCGTGGCGAAAGCTGTCCACGCCCGATGCCTCCTCCCCGCGCTCCTCCGCCGCGGCCGCCCTCCCCTCGGCGGCGACGATAGGGGCGACTAGCCCAGGGGCGGGCATTACGCGCATTCGCCCGGGAGCCTCTCCGAAGACACAGATCATCGGCGCACCTGAGTACACTGTTCGCCCCTGTCGTCGCCTCTGATCCCCTTCCCCTAGTCGCCTTCTAAGCCCGGCGCGGCCCCCCTCTCGGGTTTTCGACCGCGCTAGCGCCCGCCCTCGCTGTTGACCGAAAAACACGATCCTCAAGTCTCGGGCTCTCTGGGGCCCGTCACGGGGCATCAAGGCCAATCCAGAGCACATCCGCTACGCAACATTTGCCCCCGTGGAAGGGGTCGGGAACTCTGGGGCGTCGGATTAAAGAAAAATAATATTGTCGGAGGAGGTTTGGGGGAGGGGGAGGGTCTGGCCCCAGGCGGCAAGCACCGCATCGCCGTGAAATCGGCGACGCGCCGCCGACAGATCGGCGGTACGGCCCCGAGCGCAAAACCGCAAGCCCCTGCCCTGGGCGGGCGGGGCCCCCGGCCCCCTGTCGGCAATGAAAAAAACGATTGGGGGTCGATGCGTCCCCCCACCCTGAACCTGTCCTTGGCGGCGCGCACAAGGGGGTGGAGCGAGGGGGGAGGGCTTCTTAGCAGGAGGCTGCTTCTGAGAGGGCGCCGGCCTTGCATCTATGGAGAAGGCCCGCGACTTCTAAGAAGCAGGGGTGCTTCGAAGAAGCCCTCCGCGCGTGGTTGATATCCCTCGGGTCGGGGACCCTGACCATTGTATTGGTGTTCGACTATTCGGCGGTGGACAAACCTCCCTTTGATAGACCTCCCCTTAGTGAAAACGGCCTGGGACCGAAACCGACGGACCCGGACCCGCCAGAACGACGGCCGCGACGCCCTCTCGCGAGCCGAAAACGGCCGATTCCTCAATCGACGTGTCAGGGTAGGAGATCTGTCCACCCCCCGATCTTAGCAGGAGGCTGCTTCTTAGAGGGCGCCGGCCTTACATCTGTAGAGAAGGCCCGCGCCTTCTAAGAAACCCTCCGCGCGTGGCTGATATCCCTCGGGTCGGGGGCCCTGACCATCCTATTGGTTTTCGATCCTACTATCGGGGATGGACAGACCTCCCTTTAGTAAAACGTGGTTTAGTGACAACGACCTGAGGCCCAAACCTGGCGGGCGCAAGCCTGGAAAATAGCGGCCACGGCGCCATCTCGAGAACCGAAAACGGACAATTCACTAATCGACGTGTCACTGCTGGGGGTTCTGTCCCCCCCCGATACTATGAACTCGGGTCTCCCGCGGCCGCCCTCTGTCGATCCCGGGCACCTCTCGGAGCGCGCTCCCTCGGCGAGGCGCGGCCGTCGCAGCGCACCCCCCCGGGGGCCGGAGAGAGAGAGGCGCGGAGAGCCGACGGCGCGGCTCGAACGAACAGCTCGCGCTCCGGACCTCGGCCGCCGAGCCCCCTCCGCCCCGAGGCGCCGCCCCCGAAGCGCCTGCGGCCAGCCGAAGCCCCCGGCGGCCAGGAACTCCTGCAGCACCGCCTCGCGTGCGCCGGACTGCTGTCGACATCCGCTGCGCCCTGGACTTTTGCTGGGGAGGGCGTCACGAGAGGCCGAGGCGCGGCGGACCCGGACAAGGATCTATGGCCTCCGGGGGGCCAGATGCTTGCCTACGTCCGCTGCGCCTCTGGCTTCGGGGGAGCCAGGCACCCCAGGACGCCGTGGATGTGGGAACAACAAGCCTTGCCCACCTCGAGCGGGCGGCCATGGGGGGGGGACCCACACATGGGGGTGCAGACGAGGGCCCCTTACAGGCTTCTTGTGGGAGCCCAGACGGAGCCCTAACGGGCCTCTTCAGCAGGGGAACAAAAAGTGGCATAAACATAAAGACTCGGAGGTCCGCGCGGAGTTGTCGGATCGGCGCTGGGGCCCCCCGGCGGCGCCTCCGGCGCCGCCCCTGGCGCGCTCCGCGCTCCAGGGAGGGGGGTCCAGCGCCGATCCGAGAAATCCGCGCGCACCTCCGAGTTTTTGTTATGCTTATGTCACTTTTTGCTCCCCTCTTCCGGGACCTCCTCTTCACCCCGCACTTGGCCCCCCCCCATTGTCGGCGGTGGACAAACCTCCCTTTTAATAAGCATCCTCTTAGTGAAAACGGCCTGGGACCGAAACCGACGGACCTGGACCCGGAGAGATGACGGCCGCAACGCCCTCTCGCGAGCCGAAAACGGCCAATTCCTCAATCGACGTGTCAGGGTAGGAGGTCTAGCCACCTCTGACGTTGCCACCCACCCGAGCCCGCCGCCTCGCCCGCGCAGCCCGGCACCTCGTGCACGAAGATCCGCACGCCGCCCCCCGGCCGTGCGCTCCCGCGGCCGCGGGCCGGCAGGGGCGCCTCTCCCAGACACCCAGCAGCCGCGCAGCCAGAAGCCCAGATCCTCCTCGCTCCTCTCCTCCTCGACCTTCCTCGTGCCTCCTCCTCCTCCTCCTCCTCCTCCTCCTCCTCCTCCTCCTCCTCCTCCTCCCCCTCCCCCTCGATCCTCCTCGATCCTCCTCGATCTTCCTCGATCATCCTCGATCGTGGATCCTCCTTCGCCTCAGCGGGGAGCGGGACCGCCAGGCCTACAGCCTGTGCACAATGATGAGGTCTGGCTCTGCGGGCGGGACACAGCCGCACCCAGGACAGAAGTCGGCGGCGCACACATGGCGGCTAGGGGGGGGGAGGGGAAGGCTTCTCAGAGGGAGGCTGCTGCTGAGAAGGCGCCAGCCTTCTATCTACAGAGGGGGGCCGCGCCTTCTGGGGAGCAGGGATGCTTCTAAGGAGCCTTCCCCCCCTCCCCCTACCCTACCCCCCTCTGCGCGTGGCCGATCTTCGACGACATGTGTTTGTTTTATGTGTCCTTCTTCATCGATTTCGGTCCTCCGCAACGCTCCTTCACCGCCGTCGTGGCCGCCGCCGCGTCGGCCGCAGCGAGGTCGACGACGACGTCGACAGCGGCAACGACAACGACGCTTGCATGCGGGGCCCTGGGGAACATCAAAAACGGTTCCGGGGCGAAGAACTGCTTGCGGGAAGCGGTCGGGACCATCAGGGCCGCGGACTGAAACATCTATACGCGGACGTCAGAAGGGAGCGCTGGATGACGAACCGAGGGGCTTTCGTGGCCACGGCGAGCGTCGGGCATGAACATGCCCCCCGAACCCTGCCCGAAACCGAGAGCCCCTCCCGAGCCCAAAGCGGAAGCGTTCCTCATTTCTCGGCGTCTTGGCTGTCCGGCCGTCTCTGGAAAGCCTGAACCCAACCATGTGAACGTCTTTTACTTCGGCCGCCTTCCGCAAACATTACGCCGACGGACCCGCCACCATTTTACTTCAGTCGGCATCCGTCGGCCTGACGCAGGCGTCCGCCAGGAGGCGAGATGCGCCGAAGGCGAGACCCTCGTTGCAATGCGCCACGTGGAGGAACAAAAAACGCACCGCGAGCCCGAGCTTGTTATTCCACGATTTCAGGGATATCGGATCGAATCGCAGTGTGAGAAAGACCGGGCTGCATTTTGGACGCCCGAAATGGGTACGGAATGAACACAGGCCGCGGCGGCGTGGACAGCGAATCCGGTTCAAAATGAACAAGAACTGCTGTTGGGCATTGTACCCATTCTTTCCGTGCCCATGTCGGGCGTCCAGCTGCATCGCCGCCGAGTCAGAATCTAATCGGATCGGCTGCGCCAGGCTGAGCAGCGGCGCCATGCAGACATCGGGCCACACCGGATCGTCGGAACAGTCGGGGCTGAAGGAGACCGAGCGGGCCTGGCATGTTGTTCAGTCCGTCGTGATTTGCCACGACGTAACGTGTCTGGGCCCCGGAATCGAACTGCGACCGACCCCCAACTACAGTCGGGGCGTTGCCCTAAGGAACCCTAAATAAGGAACGAGGTCCCTTTTTCCCATAAGTTGAACTTCGCTTTCCCATGGAAAACATCAGGAAAACCTGAGGCAAATAGTTCAACAATCAAGGGACACCGAGCCCCTCCCCAACGAAAAGGGTTCCTTCTTCAGGGCCCCGACTCTATGCGCGCGCACTCGTTTCTCAAGAACCATCAAGTTTCAAGAACCCCTTGCAACAGATGGGACGAAGTGCACACGGACGGGTTGTCGCGCGCACGTGCCGACATCCTTCAAACACACTCGGCTTCGTGAGGATTTGAAAACCGAGTGTCAAAACATCATATAAAAAACATACTGCTTCGCAGCACGGATTGTCAAAACAAGCTCGCGCGCTTCTGTGAATTCTTGAATAAACCATGGCTTTTCATCATGTTCCGACAATGCAACCAAACGGCCTTCACGCGCGCGCGTGTCGAAATCGTTCGAACGCTCTTGCGCGCGTGCTCTCGCGAAAACCCTTTTGCAACAGATGGGACGAAGTGTGCGCGCGCGTCGTCGCGCGCGCATGCCAAAATCCGTCGAAAACATTCGGTCACGTAATGGTGTCTGAAGCGAGTGTCCAGAAAAAAAAATGTGCAGCACATGGTTCCGCAAAACCACAGTGTTCAAACACGCGCGCGTCCGCGCTCTTCCGAACTCTTCAGAGCACCATCGGCGTTTCCATCGTGGACACTGAGGTCTGGCAGGCATGCGCCTGGCTGGTGCGCGCGCGTCGGATTCTCTACAGTCGGGGCGTTGACCTAAGGAACCCTCAATAAGGAACGGGGCCCCTTTCTCCCATAAGTTGACCTTAGATTTCCCATGGAAAACCTCATGAAAACAGAAGGCAAACTGTCGAACAATCAAGGAACACCGAGCCCCTCCCCAACGAAAAGGGTTCCTTCTCCAGGGCCCCGGCTGTACGCGTAAAAAATGCGCGGCGGAGGGGGGGGCACAGCATGCGCCCGGGGCGTGCGCGCGGGGCACGTGCCTTTCACGTGTCCACGGCCACCCCCCGGAAGGGGACCCAACGTGAGCGCGTCGGGCTCTCTGCGCGTGAACAGTGCGTGCGCGGAAGGAAGCGGGGGGCCTAAACATGCGCCTGGCGCGCGCGCGGAGCACGCGTTCTCGCGTGTCCACGGCCTCCAAAGGGGGAGGGGGGGCACAAATTGGAAGCGCCGGTCTCTCTACGCGCGACAATACGTGCGCAAAGGGGGGGGCGAACAGTCGCCTGGCGCGCGCGCGCGGGACACGCGATCGTACGTGTCCACGGCCCCCAAGAATGTACCCAGCTTGAGAAGTTGGGTTCCTTCAGCGTGACAATACGTACGCGAAGAGGGGGGGGAGGGGGGGGGGCAAACATGCGCCTGGCGCGTGCGCGCGGGGTACGCATTCCCACGTGTCCACGGCCCCCAAAAGGGGGACACAACTTGGAAAAGTCGGATTCCTCACAGGTCAAAACACGTGCGCGGAGGGAGGGGTCGACATGCGCCTGGCGCGTGCGAGCGGAGCACGCGTTCTGACGTGCCCACGGTCCCCCAAACAGGGGGACCCAACTTGGAAGCGTCGGACGGATTACACGTGACAGTACCTGCGCGGATGTTTGGGGCCCAGCCATGCGCCTGGCGCGTGCGCACGGAGCACGCGTTCTCACGTGTCCACGGCCCCCAAGGGGAAACCTAACCTGGCGCGTCGGATTCCCCACGCGGAACACAAAGCGTGCGCGGATTGGGGGGGGCTAGCAGCATGCGCCTGTCGCGTGCGCGCAGGGCACGAGTTCTTGCGTGTCCACAGTCCCCCCCAAGACAGGGGGGGGGGGCCAGCTTGGGCGCGTCGGGGTCTCAGAACGTTAAAGACCTGCGCGGAAGGGGCCTGGCGCGTGCGCGCGGGGGCACGCGATCTCACGTGTCCACGGCCCCCAAGAAGGGACCCAACTTCAGGGGGCGTCGAATTCTCCAGGCTTGAAAATGCGTGCGCGGAGGGGGGGGGCGCAAAACGTGCGCCTGGCTCGTGCGCGCAGGGCACGCGTTCTCACGTGTCCACGGCCCCCAAGGGGAGGGCACTCAACCTGGGTGCGTCGGATTCTCTGCACGTGGGAATACGTGCGCGGGGAGGGGCGGGGGGCAACGTGCGCCTGGCGCGTGCGCGCGGGGCACCCAGAGGGGGGCCCGACACGTTAGACAACCTGCGCGGAGGGGAAGCCCGACATGCGCTTGGCGCGTGCACGCGGGGCACGCGATCTATCGTGTCCGCGGCCCCTAGGTGGGGGGGGGGCCCAACTTGGTCGCGTCGGATTCTCCACACGGGGAAATCTGTGCGCGGAGGGGGGCACATGCTTTCACGTGTCCACGGCTCTGGGGGGGGGCCCACCATGAGCGCGTCGAGCGGGCGAGCAGGTGACAGGCGCCGCGGTGCAGGCGGGAGATGGCGACGAGAGGAAGGTGGAGGCAGGAAAAGGATGATGAGGAGGTGCAAGGAGGAAGGAGGAGAAAGGAGAAGGAGGATGATAAGGAGGAGGAGGAGGAGGAGGAGCAGGAGGAGCAGAAGGACAAGCAGGAAGCGCAGGGGGTAGTGGTTGCAGCCGAGCACAGGGAAAATGGTGCACGCGCATCGGAAGAAAGCTTGACTCGAGTTCCTTACCACCTTCGTGGATCCCTCCAAATTTCCAGTCGCATACTTTTTTTCGGTTGATACCGGCCGGGCGACCGCACGTACGGCCCACGCGCCGGCGAGAACGACATGCTCAATGAGGGACGTCGCTGGCGCACGGGTGACAGCAAAATCGTCACTCAGAGATGTGGTCCACGCATAAACGTTGTCAGCAAAATCGTCGTCAGCATCACTCCGAGACAAGCGTGCCGCCAAAGCGCATGTGCCACGCCCATTCTGCGAGGGTCAGGCTCTGTGTCACCGGGGTCCGGGTGGCATTAGGCGGGTAGTCCACGTTAGGGGGAGGGGTGCTGGGGCTGGGCACCATGAACACAGAACCCCGACGTCGTCATTTCTGTTCACAGCGTCGACCCCTAGGGGTCTGGACCCCTTTCCCGAAACCAACTTTTCATCCCGAGTCGTTGTTTGACGGCCCAGAGGCCTGATAAGGGCCCCTGGAGGACAAAAATAACGAAGAGCCTCCCGTCGTGATTGGAGGCCTCCTATATGGGGTCGGAGTAGATGGGGTCGGAGAATCGCGCCGCATCGCCGATAAATTGGCGATGCATCCGCGATGCATCCGCGATGCATCGGCGATGCACTGGCGATGCATCGTCGACGTGGGCGGTGCATCGGCGACGTCGACGTGGAGCAAATCGGGCTCCACATCAAGCCGCATCGGCGATGCATCAGCGATGCGGCGCGATCCTCCGACCCCATCTACCCACTCTGACCCCACCTGAGAGGCCCAGAGTGTTCTTTCACGTCGCGAGGGGGTCTGGGAAGCCTCTGCAGGCACCCGCTTCGGCATCCGAGCCCGCGGCCTCGGCGGCGGCGCCGAAGTCGAGCCGCAAGGCGTCGAGCCACGGCTCCTTCGGGAAGTCGCTCGAGAGCAGGCGCCCGCCGCCGCCCGGGGTGGCCCCGAGCAGCATGTGGAACTTCGGGCGGGCGGCGGCGGCGAGGAAGTCCTCGATGTGCGAGTCATCGGCCTCTGGCCGCTCCCTCCCCCTGCTGCTCCTCCTCCTCCTCCTCCTCCCTCCTCCTCCTCCTCCTCCTCCCCTCCTCCTCCTCCTCCTCCTCCTCCTCCTGACCTCCTCCTCCTCCTCCTCCTCCTCCTCCTCCTCCTCATCCTCCTCCTCCTCCTCCTCCTCCACCACCTCCTCCCCCTCCCCCTCCACCTCCTCCCCCCTCCTCCTCCTCCGCCTCCTCCTCCTCTTCCTCCTTTCGAGCTCGGCCGAGAAAAGAACTCCTGGCCGGGCGCGCCCGCGCATCGCTCCCGAGGGGCGCCCTGGCCTCCCGCGGGGCCCGGCGCCGCGCACAGCCAGACGCATCGCACGGGCGCACGATGCGGGTGCAAGGGCCTTGGAAGGGCATGTCGACGATGAGGATGCAAGGGCCTTGGAGGGCCACGTCGACACCCTGCGACAGGGGCGCGGCCGGCGGAAAAGGCCATGAATGGGCCAAAAGGGAGGGATGGAAGGGTAGCCTTGGAGAGTCGCTCAACCATACTGCGCGGGTTGACTGTAACACGCACTGGGGCGCACGGTCGCGGAGGAGGAGAGGGGGGAAACGCGCGTTTATACACTGAGCTATCAGGGCCCTGACCGATGGGGTTTGCAGCAGGAAAACGTATCGTGTAGAATGCTCTGGCCGCTTCTTTGGGCGACAGGTGTCGAAACAACAGGAATGCTCTGCGCGTTGGGCCGCCATTTGCCACGAAGTGGTGCAATGACCGAACATGGCATAGAGGATCTGTTTCTGGCCCCGAAAGGTGGAGGAGGAGGAGGAAGAGGAGGAGGAAGGTTGAGGAAGGTTGAAGGGAGGAGGTTCGAAGTAGCAGGAGACCATGACCAACTGTTAGGCGCAACGCGATCGGCCTCTCGCTCCCAGACTCTGGGGATCTGATGTTTCCCATCGCTGCGTTTTCCCTTCTTTTTGGTTTCTGGGGGGCCTCCTTCGGGTTCCAGGGCCATCAACAATTGACGAGGTGTGCAAAACTACCTTGCGGAAAGAGGTCGAAGGGAGCTCTGGGCCGAATATTGAAGACAAGTCCGCCAACCCTGTCGGCGCGTGGAAGGCGCTATCGTCGTCGTCGTCGACGCTCTCATCATCTGAGGGGATGCTTGGGCTTCAGGAAACCGCCATGGAAACACCATCCCTCCACCCTCTCCCGTCCCGGGGGCCGATCTCGGACAGGGTGGCTGTGAAAGCGAGATAGTTCTTTCCTGTTCCCTGGCGCTTCTGCTCGATGGCCTTCCGAGCATGGCGCGCGGGCTTGTAGTGTTGAAGCTGCGCCAGCGTGCTTTGGCGCGCTCGTAAATCAGCCCGTACGAGGTGCGCACCACGCTGTTCCACAGGAGTGTCGCGTAGCTCGGGGTCGTCGGCGGATATTTAGTCGCCGAATGAACCTGCGGTGTAAGCGTCGGTGCCTGAGTCGATCTCTGCTGCTAGGTCTGCCCCCTGTACCGGCGGTGCCATGCTAGAGGCAGACAGCCTCCAGACGGCCCCGGCTGGTACAAGGGGGCTTGGCGCCGATCCCTGTGCAGCAGGACCCATGCCGTCCCAACTCTGCTCTTGCGTGGGCGTACCCGTGAAGAACGTGTGCTGTTAACTGGGCAGAACGGACCGCCGTGGCGAGGTTGCCTGGTGATCCCTCTACCATGTGTCCGAAGAGTCTCGGCTGGCCCATTATGTTGGTGAGCTGCTGAGCGTTCGCGGGGTGGGCGGTACACTGCGCTGCGCACCGCCAAATGCACGACCGTCTGGAAGGAGTGCGCATCCGGATCACGTCCTGCCCGGCTGGCGGGCCTGAGTCGGTGAAACGAAAGGTCGGGTCCCGCGGCGTGGTGCCTCGGAACGATGGCGTCCCAAGCGTTTTGCCCTCCACTGCATTACCTCCCGGGTTGAGAACACCCATGCTCCCCACTGCACCCTAGCTCGGCCCGGATGCCTCTTCCCTGCTTGCTTCTCCCAGGGCTTTCGAGACGCTGTCCCATAAAACTCGGAGACTTGGTCTGACAACGCAGATTTGAACGTTGTCGAGCACCTGTCTAGTAGCACCTGAGGCTACCCCCGCAGGCGGGGGCACTGACAGTTGGGGGTCCGCGAGCTGCTCGGGCACAGGCCGAGCATGCCTGGGATGGGTCGCCAAAGAGGTCCTTGTAGATCTTGGTGGTGTTGCCCTTGATGAAGTATGTGCACGTTCTCGGTCAGTAGGCCTGGCGGATGGGCGGGTGCCTCGACGAACCCTAAAGCAGCATCTCCTGCCACTGTGAGCGGGAAGAGGCTCTCGAAGGCGATGATGTTGAAGGCGGAGGTAGAGCAGGATGTAGAGCAGCATGTAGATCGCAACGGCGTGGTGTTCCAGCGGGTGGGTTGTCCAGCCCTGACGTACCCACGAAAGACGTCTCCTGCAGGCGTCGCGATGTAGATGAAGATGTAAGGGAAAACGATCTTTCCCGTAAGCGGATGTATAGCGAGTAAAACGCGTCTTACTGTGTAAAACGGGCTCGGTGAAGCATCCTTGATATGCAAAACGGCAGCTGCAAGAGAAAGGGTGAGAAGCAGGCGCGGCAGGAAGACTGAGGAGGGAGCAGGCGCGGCAAAAAGTAGGGTGAGAACCGTTCGAGTAGAAGGATGAGGAGGAGGAGGAGGAGGAGGAGGAGGAGGAGGAGGAGGAGGTGAGAAGACGCGATGAGGATGGAGGAAGGAAGAGGAGGAGGAAGGGGAGGAGGAAGGGGAAAGGGAGGAGGAGAAGGGAGGACGGAGGGGGGATTATGGGGAGGAGGAGGAGGAGGAGGAGGAGGAGGAGAGGAGGGGAGGAGGAGGAGGAGGGGAGGAGGAGGAGGAGAGGAGGAGGAGGAGGAGGAGGAGGAGGAGGAGGGGAGGAGGAGGAGGTAGGAGGAGGAGGAGGGAGAGAGGAGAGCAGCAGCAGCAGCAGGAGGAGGAGAAGGAGGAGGAGGAGGAGGAGAAGGAGGACGATGAGGATGAGGAGGGGGGGCGAGGAGGAGGGAGGACCCGGACAAAGACGAAGGAGGAGGAGCAGGAGGAGAAGGCGAAGGAGGAGGAGAGGAGGAGGTGGAGGTGGAGGAGGAGGAGGGAGAGGAGAGGAGGAGGAGGAGGAGGAGGAGGAGGGAGGAGGAGGAGGAGGAGGAGGAGGATAAGGAGCAGGAGGAGGAGGAGGAGGAGGAGGAGGAGGAGGAGGAGGAGGAGGAGGAGAGAGGGGAGGAGGCGGAGGCGGGGAGGAGGGACGGGGAGGCGGAGGAGTAGAGGAGTAGGAGGAGAGGAGGAGGAGGAGGGGAGGAGGAGGAGGAGGAGGAGGAGGAGGAGGAGGAGGAGGAGGAGGAGGAGGAGGAGGAGGAGGAGGAGTGAGTAGTGAGGAGGGCGGAGGGCGGAGGGAGGAGAGAGACGAGGGAGATGAAGGAGGCGGAGGAGGAGGAAAAGGAAGACGAGGAAGAGGAGGAGGGAGGAGGAAGAGGTGAAGGAGGAGAAACAGGAGTAGGAAGAGGAGAAGGAGGATGAGAGAGGAGAAGGCGGAGGGGGAGGAGGAGGCGGAGGAGAGAGAAGCAGAGATGATGAGGATGAGGAGGAGGAGAAGGAGGACGAGGAGGAGCAGGAGGTGGTGGTGGTGGTGCTCAGTTGGGGGCCATCAGTCTGTCATCCTGCAGCTGAGCGAGGCCCCTCCGTTGAATATGGAGGCTGGGCCGCCTGCAAAAGCAGCAGGCCGCCACGGCATGAGGCGACGCGGCGGTGCAAAGACTGCGCGCGATGCCCCGTCGGCGAGGAAGATCCCGCGGGGGATATGAAGAAGTGGAGGGAGGAGACAAAGCCTCTAGGCTATCCCTAGCTGGCTAGGGGATGCCTTGGGGCTGAGCCCCCTCCCCCCTATAATGCGATATCGGGAGCGGCGCCTGCTGCCTCTCTGGGAGGCGCGCCGTTGCCGCCAGGGGCGGCATCTCGTCATATATTGTCAAATTGAAGCGTATTCTGCAGTGAGCTGCGATATTCTTTCACCTGCTGCAAGAGTCTACTAGCATGCTCACTGCCACCTGCTACCATGCTGCGAAGCGTCTGCTGTCGCCTCGGGTCGTGTGCAATATCTACAATCACTTGACCTTACCTACGTCTCAGCTCCTCTTCAGCGTTCCCTGTTTGATCAGCTGCTTCAGCTGAGCCTCTACTGCCCTCTCCAACTCTGTCTTCGGCCCTGCCCCCATAGGCATCACCCCTTTCTGCAGGAACCACGCGTGATTCAGCGCCTCTCGAAGAAGCGCTGGCTGAAATTGGCGTACCTGCGCGATGACCTCCGAGGGCGCCTCCGCCAAGCGCAGCGCCGTCTTGAAGTCGACCAGCGGCCTGATGCCGAACATGACCTTGTACATCTCCTCCAGGTCCGACTCGCGCTGGTAGGCCTTCTTGATCCTGAACATGCTGAAGGTCGCGTCCACGAGCCTCTGTCCGTGCTCGCCGCTGGCCGCCCCGACCCACTCCTTGAGCAAGAGCTTGCTCTCCGCCTGCCACTTGTCTTGCTCGTCGAGCACCTCCACCGCCTTCTCGACCACCGCCATCGCGATGTGCACATGCGGCGGCCCCTGCCCATGGCCCTTCCCCAACCTCTTCACCGTGTTGTTGTAGTCGAGGCCTGTGTCGGCCCCTGCCGTGACCATTGCCGACGATCCTGGGACCAGCCAGAAGTCGAAAATGCCGTTCATCATGTCGCGGTTCTCCTGGCTGTTGCGCAACACGAGCTTCTGCACGGTGACCAGGGCCTCCCTGATGTCCGTGCTCTCGCCGTCCTTCGCCTTGCCGCCCTTTCCTCGAGCTCCACCCTCTTGTCGTGCCTCCTTCTTGTCTCGTTCTAGGCCAGGCTCTCCTCCTGGCGGTGCCCTCTTCACTCTCCACGACGTCCTCGTCCCCGCAGTCTCGACAGGCAGCCTCCACCACCGAATGTGGTCCTGGCAAGTGCTGTCGGACGTGCTCCTGAAAGCTCTCAAAATTTTGAGCCGAGAAAGCACATGCGCGGCAACTCAAGTCGTCGGGGACCTGCACTTCGTGGCTCCACTTCGAGTGATCTACAAAACACTTTCCAAACCTCAATGCTGCCCTGCGACCATGGTCCAAGGCACCTGCTCTATTCACGAAACAGCTTCTGCACCAGGGGCACTGGTTTGTGATGATAATCTTACTCAATAGAGGTGTCACACCGTGTGCCTCACGACGATGGGCGATAAGGCCTGTTGCACTCAAAAACCTTTTGCCACAGGTCGTTTTTTCTCCTCCCTCCTCCTCCTTCGTGTGATCACACCAATATGGTCTGTAGTACTCCTCCATCGCCTGCTCCTCCTCCTCCTCTATACCAGGCGACACCTCCCCGTACCTCTCGACTGCATTCAAGTACGACGGGTCCGTTTGCAGAAATCTGTCGTTCTCTGGGCTCCCTCGTTTCAATATGCTGATGTCGTCGCTTCTCGCATGGTACCACTCGGCGAACTCGGGGTCGACGGAAGCCAAATGATCGAGGTCGGACACGAATTGTTTAGCCCAGGGGGTCGACTCGCTGTGCACTCTGAAGTCTTCGGATAATCTGGGAGCCTGGTCCATCCAAGCTGTGCCAAACACCGCAGCTACCACCGCCTGATGATCATCTGGATACTTCGCCCAGCGGAGGTAATCCCGAATCCTTCGTACTCTCAACTGTGTAGCACATCTAGGTATCTGCCATGCTCTGAAAACAAACTTCGTGGACCTGCACCTCCTCTCCCCCTCCTCCGTTACCCAGCTCATCTCTCCTTTAGATAGCACCCTCAAAAACTTCCCCAGGGTCTGGTCTAGGATGCTGACAAACTTATCAGGGATGACGAAGGCAGATAATCCACTAAGAGCGGCTTCCACTACGAAGGCCTGAAACATCGCCCGTCGTATACATTTAGCTGTGGAGGACGTCCAGAAGCACCCGCATTGTCGCCGAGCCTGTCTGGCAGCTTGACTTCTCCTGAGTACCTCGCTCAACATGCCCTGCTCACTCGGTAAATGCGGACCTAATACACGCATCTCTCGAAGGGCTTGACCCTTCAGTTCTTTACTACGTCTCAAGCGGCGTGTAGTCTGGTAGTGTCGGGCCCCCCGTAGATCGAGTAGATGGTTAGTTTTGCTGGGGTTGAGCGTCCACTGCCCTTTGGCCAAGCAACTTTCCAACCTAGATGTGCTGCCGTTCAGTATCTCGGTGACCTTAGCCGCCGATGCCCCCTCCTCAATGACAGTGCTCTTCGTAATGTCGTCCATGAACACACTCAATTGGGTATCAATAGGGGGTAGGTCAGGGTGACGAGGATCTGTGGTAAAGAACCATCTGTGCTCTCCGTGCGCTCTCTCTCCCATCCTCCACTCCTCCACCTCCTTGTTGTATGTATTGATAAAATCTCTGGGAGCTGTAGTAAATCCCATCTGAGTACCTGTGGTGGACCTGATGTCTAATGTACCGTCTGACGTCTCCATGGTCATCGTCTGCTGTCTCACCGTCGCGATAGCAAATGGGACGTCCTCGGGGCATGCATGTTCCTCTGCTTGGATCTCAAGACGTTCTCTTTCTGTCGCTGCGAAAGGATTGGTACAATCGTAGTTGCTCACGATGAGACTCTTCTTATTGCACTCCGCCCTCCACTTGTTACACATGATGATGGTGATGATGCTCTCTCTGCTTCTGTGTGCTATCCCCCCCTGTGCCCATGTAGGCGTCCATACTTTCTGTGCTCGGTAGGGTATCCCCGAGTGCCAGGCCATGGAGAATGCATCATAGCAGTGCATGATGCGCTTGCCACTTATGTTGTTTTTGCCATTTGCCTTGTCACTCGAGAAGCTCAGGGACCTGTAGCTGCAGAGGGGCATGGCTTGACACCGACGGATGTGTACTAGATAATCCTGCAGCACCTTCTCAAACGCGTACGCTTCGGCGCACAACTCCGCACTCCCCAAGCCTGCCCTTTCCTCCCGACGAAACTGCCACAAGTCACCCACCGGCGGCTCCTCTGGCGGTCGAGCGGCGCCGTCAGGTCCAGGCGCCCCGAGTCCCTCTCCCCTAGTCCACCCCATCTTCTCCAGTAGCCTCCTGCCCACTCGGTACGTAAACTCCGCAGTGAATCTCTCCATCTCCTCCTCCTCCTCCATTTTTTCAGCCTGTCTAATCTGCCTTTGTTCATTCAACTCGCTCAACTTATTAGGAGACTCCATGTTGACACTCGGCTGCAATAGTAACCACACTGCTTCTGTGGGGAGGCCCCAGCTGGGATAAGCACGTCTTTTTGCCGCCCTGCGGCAATATCTGAGCATCGAACGTCGGTCTTTCTGTACTAGATGGAGAAGGTCAGCACCAACATAGGCAAGTTCGTAGTCTTCACAGTCGTACCTATAATGACTGAGCTCGTCGTTCCAGTTTATAGCTACACCTGCCAATCCTCCATCCTTTGCCGTCTTCCCCAATTCCTCCTCCCATGTCCTGTTGTTCCATCCTGTTCTGGGACTGTAATAATACCGACGCTTGGGCCCCCTCCCGTTGCCCTGGTAGAGTACTCTCAATTTGTGCATGTCCGAATAACGTTGTTCCACATAAGCGTTCCAAATCTGGCCTGCGAGATCCGCTCTCTTCCGTAGGAGGTACTGCTTTCTGATCTTTTTCATGCATGCTGTGATTTCCTTAAGATCCTCGCAGACGTCCAAAAACTCCTCCTCCCCCTTGCAGTCCACCATCTTTTCCCTCAGCTCCCTCCTCCTGCCCAACATGCGCATGCGGTACGCGCGCATGTGCTCGTACATGTTGTCTACGTACAGGGGCTGCTCTGGGAACGTGTCTAGTAGAGCCTGTCGCACACACAGGCCGAAGATGCCCCAATATGCGTCTGGAGATTTTTGCAGAAGAGCTTTTTGGAAAGAGTCTTCTCCTACCTCCGATAAGTCCTTGTCAACATTCTCGAAGAAGTCTCTCCTCTTGTAGCCTCTGGTCAAACATCTTATCAGGGCACTGCGGTCTGGGCGCTCTTCTTTTTGTCTCTTACTTCGATGATGGAAAAGACTGACATCCAAGTCAAGACCAACAGGGACGTGATCTCGATGGCCTCGTGCTTTGATCGTCTGCAACCTTTTCCCAGCTGTCGTAAGTGCTGCACACGCTCGTAGCTGGTGTCTTGCATTGACTGGGAACGCTATGTGATCAATACGGCTTTGTCCACCAGTGGGGCCGAAAAAGGTGTCGTTGACTTTACTGCTGGCCGATGCTATGAATAACTGGTTGCGCTCGCAGAACTCTCTGAACTCGAGACCGTTCTGGTTCTCAAGTTTCGGGCGATGGCCTCCTAAGCTGATACTCTTCGTAGTGTGGACGCTGCCGTCGCGGTCTCGAGAGAGACCGAAGTCCGAGTTGACGTCACCACCTACGATAATGTTGGTCCTCACCCCCAGCTTGTCTATCTGGTCATCCAGCCACTTAGTTATTTTACGAGCTATCTCACCGTGTCGTTGCACCGACGTGGGGGCAAAATAAACACCGAAAATCGCCGTGTCGATCTGTGCTGTCTGCAATCGGATGCCTGCTACTCTACCTTGGAGTTCCGAGGGGGGTCTCATCGCCGTGTGGAGGGATTGCGTGGGCAGGTTGCTTTTGACAAGAAAACTGACCCCACACGCCGTGCTCGTCAACCTGCCCTTCTTATAACCAAGCTGCACTCCCCAATGATGTCCGAAATGGTGTTGCTGTGCTGGCTGGTCTTCGAGGGCACGATTGCTCGTACCGGTGAGGATGATGACTTCCCAGTCCTTTAATGCAGTACTGATGTCAATAATCCTATCGTGGTACGCGGCGTGCATGGGGTTGTAGGTGGCCACGCGCATGCTGTCGTACGTGTACGTGCCGCTCACCACGATGTGCTGCGCGCGCCACGCATGCCACCCCTCCCTTCCCCGCGGCCCCCTGCCCTGCTGCGGCCCCGCGACTGGACGCGGTAGCACGTCGGGCTCGCCTCGCGCGCCGAAATCCCCCCCCGCGCTGCGAAACGGCGGCTGAGGAGCAGGAGGAGCAGGAGGAGGAGGAGGAGGACAAAAAGGAGGAGGAGGAGGAGGAGGAGGAGGAGGAGGAGGAGGAGGAAGAGAGAGGAGGAGGAGGAGGAGGAGGAGGAGGAGGAGGAGGAGGAGGAGGAGGAGCAGGATGGAGGCCGAGCCTCCGCCCCGCGCACCGCGGCGGCGCCCCCGCAAGCGGCCAGCAGCCGCGCGGCCGCGGCGGGCCCGCCACGGCCTCGCCAGCCGCCGCCCGGGCGCGCCTTGGCGGCGGAGGGCCGCGCCCGGGGCGCATGGCGCACGCGGACGCCCACGGCTACTGAGATGACCGAGGCGGTTGCTACGAAGTGCACGCTAAATTGAGGGACGAAAAAACGACCATACCCTGGGTTACAAGTGCGTGGTCTGTAAACCTCCTGGGAACCCCCAAAGCCTAGAGCCGCCAGGACGCGGCACATCACGCAGGTTTTACCCTGTCAGCCCACAGGAGTTTCAGCGCACAGCGCCTCGTAAACCAGGGTAGGGGCCTTTTTTATGCCCTTGACTAAACGCTGTGCAGCCGCGTATCGAGTGCACCTCCTGCGACGTGCACTCTGCGTGAGGTGCCCGACCGAGCAGCGTGCACGGCAGGGCCTCCAGGTGCGCGCTGCTCGTCGCACGTTGACTATCATGGGGTGGCGGGGTTTGAGGCGGATGCTGAGGTGAGCGACGGTCGAAAGCGGGTCTCAGGCGAGATGACGCAGCGACCTTGCGCGGTGGCTTCGGCGGGCCGCCAGCGCGGCACGCTGCTGTGGAGACAAGGGCGCTTAAGCGCGAACTTCCGCGGGCAGCTTACGCGCCAATGTCGGCGCCAACGACCCCGTGTTTTTTGGCGTCGCTCAGGTGGGTCGCATCTGGGTAGGGGGGGGGGGGGGGGCGCCCGAATCTCTCCGCGCGAGGGCACCTTCGGGTCAGGGACACCTCTGGCAACCCCTGACCCGCGCCTCGTCGCCGGGGCCCACGCGCAGCTGGATCGGGGAGACGTAGGACTCATGTACGGGGGACTCGGGTTGGCATGACAGGGACATCACGAAAATGACGAGGCCCAATCAAATCTGAAATTTGACGCGAGCTCCCGCTGCAAACATCCCACGAACATCGGACCGTCAAAATCCAGGACGCGCTCGTCAAAAATCGTCGGCAAACCCGAGTTCCAGCTTACCCGAGTCTTACGCTTCCCCGACTGGAAAGCCGCCTTGGTGGGCCGGGCCCACTCCGTCTTCCAACCGGCCCACCGCCTCCTACACCCCATCTGGCCTAACCTAGCTTACCTCTGGGCTGCACGTGCCCTAGGTGGTTCAGGGTGGTTCGATTCATTCCGCGACGTGGGCGGAGCCCACTTAGCCCGGATCGCTCCCTCCCCCGAAGCCACTCAGTGCGCCTGCAACAAAGCTGTAAGCTAGGGTAGGCCAGGGATAACCCATCTTAGCATCCGCTTTCCCCTATCCCCTTAGCACCCTCAGCGGTGATCTCAGTAGATGACAAGAAAAGCTGTATAAACATACCCACCGAGGGTCCGCGCGGATTCCTTGTCTGCGCTGAAATCCCTTCCCTGGCGCGCGGAGCGAGCCAGGGGCGGCCCCGGAGGCGCCGCCGGGGGGACCAGCGCCGATCCAAGAAATTCGCACGGAGCTCCAAACATTGGTGCTTATGCAACTCTTTCTTCTTCGAATGGCGGCGGTCGGATGCCACACATGCCGGGCGATCTTCGGCCGTGATGTCCGCGGATGCACCGAGTGCGAGGCGGGGATTCATCCACAGCCAAACTGCATGGGGAATCGATCTTCGGGGACCTCGGCAGGCTGTGGATATGGATGTATGCAGGCAGGCTGTGGATATGGATGTATGCAGGCCCTTGGGGGAGGGCAAAGATAGATGTCCATATCCACTGCCTGCCGAAGGCCTCGAAGATCGATCCCTCAGGCGGTGCTGCTGGAGAAGTCCACGCCTCGCACAGAGGGGTGAGGAGCATCAGCAGCGGCAGGGCCAGCGGCGGCAGCGGCACCCTTCTCACTGGCGGCGGCCGCGGTCCGATGGCGCGGCTGCGCGCGAGGGGTGCGCCGACATGATGTGCGTTCTCGCAGGCGTCTCAGTGGGGGCCTCCCCTACGGAACGCTGAGAAGCACCGACCAGGTGGGCAGCATTCCCGGCGCAGATCGTGTGACCTCCTGCGTGGCAAGGCCAAGCATGCCAATTTGATCACCCCTCTCCCAGATAGGCTTGCTCATGGAAGTCCTACCTCGCTGGAATCGAATGGAGCTCAATGGGCTTCCATGGAGTATGATGGAGCGCACTGGAGTCCATTGGGCTAAAGGGGGGCAGTGAGGTCCTGTGGAGCCCAACGGTGTGCAATTGACAGAGGAATGGCACTCGGGTCCGATGGCGTCGAAGGGAGTCCACTGGAAACCAGCGGATTCCATCGGACCCGTGCAGCCCCACGAAGTCCGCTTCGTCAATTCGGCGACGTCCTCTCTCCTCTCTCCTCTCTCCTCTCTCCTCTCTCCTCTCTCCTCCTCCTCCTCCTCCTCCTCCTCCTCCTCCTCCTCCTCCTGCTCCTCCTCCCTCCTCCTCCTCCTCCTCCTCCTCCTCCTCCTCCTCCTCCTAAGTAGGTGTTTGCCAAGCAGTGCGCCTTGTCCGTGCAATGCTGCCAATGACATGACCCGAGGATCGGACACGTCAGCATGGCGAAATGCAGCGCACGGGGCGGCCCCACGCATCACAGACTGTGCGCCACGGGAGGGAGGACGGCAGGAGGCAGTGCGGAAAGGATGGAGCGCCCCGCCGGGACTGCAGTTGGAACTCCCCAGGGGGCACGCCACGCGTGAAGTCTACGCCGAATTGGATCGGGGGCCGCATACGAACGCCCTCGCTGAGGCTGTACATGGAGCTCCCTTAGGGTGCGCGACATGCGCGAGCGTCGTACCAAATCGAGGCGGAAGGGGTGTGCCTGACTGTGCAGGGCAAGCGCGTGGTCGCGCCCCGACTGGGGTCGCAGTTGGGGCTTCCAAGGGGACAGGGAGGGATGTGCCGACTCGGGGGGAACACTGTCGAACGACACATCGAAAACCGTTGAAAACATTTGAACACCTCGCGAACACCTTCAAATCCGCTGACGCTGTCGGCGTGTGTGAGAGGCTTGTCCGTTCGAGTCGTCGTCTCCCTCATTCGTTAGTCGTCGTCTCTGTCATCCCCTTTCCTTGCGCCCCCCATTTCCCTGGGCCCTCGTCCTCAAGCGCTGGGCCCGTCGCCGCTCCCTCCCCCCCCTTCCCTAGGCCCTCCTCGTCCAGCGCGCCAGCCAAAGCGAAATTGAGCGACGTCGTAATTGACTCGAAGGGGAGCCCCTTGCTTTTGATCCCTCCCCCACGAGGAGGGAGGGGAATCCTGGGGAGGAGTCGCAAGGGGGGTCCCGGGGGGGTCCTGGGTCAGATACGACTCCCCCCTGGGGGTCCCGGGGCCATAAAAAGCTCCAAGACGGGCCAAGAATGCCCCAGGAGGCCCCCAAGACGGTCCAAGAAGGCCCCCAATTGCCGAATGATCTGTCTAAGACGCCTTGACGGCCTCCAGACGGCCCACGGGCCCTGCAAGACGCCCCAAGAGGCCTCCAGGAGTTCCCAAGAGGGCCGCAAAAGGAACAACTACTGATTTCCCATACGTTTTTGATGCATGTTCGGCGTTCTCGCCTCTTCCGCTTCCCGACGCTCCAAGACGGCCCAAGAGGCCCCTCAGGTCGCTCCAAGACGGCCGACGAGGGCTCCAGGAGGGACCCAAAACGGCCCAAGAGGGCCCCAGGACGGCCCAAGACGCCTCCAAGATGGCCCAAGAGGCCCGCAAGCCGGCTTCAAGAGGGTGCCCAGACGAGGTACCAGAACGGACATTTTGAGCCCTCGGCCCCGAGAGGCTCCCAGGAGGAACCAAGAGGCGCCCAGCGCCCAAGAGGCCCCCAAGAGGCCACAAGAGGCCCCCAAGAGGTCCCTAGGAAGCCCCGAGAGGCTCCCAAGAGGCTCCCAAGAGGCTCCCAAGAGGCCCCCAACAGGCCCCCGAGAGCGTTCCGAAGAGACCCCAAGAAGCATCCATGGGGACTCTGACCCACGTCAGCGTCGTTGTCGTCGCCGCCGCGGCCACCCATCCCATTTAGGCACACTCCTCACACGTTTCGTGGCCCCACAGGGAGCGACACCTAAGGCACCAAGTGGGGATGGGGGGGCACACGCGGTTCCCCCGCCCATTTCGGCACATTGCTCAAACGTTTCGCGGCTCCGTAGGGAAGGGAACTACAACGCAAGGGGGGGGGGTCACATGAGGCCCCGTCGGCCCATTTCGGCACACCCATCACACGCATCATGGTCCCGTAGGGAGCTTCACCAAAGGCCCCAAGAGGGAGTCACATGAGGCTCCCAAGCCCATTTCGGCACACACACATACACATCAGACGCTTGGTGGCTCCATCGGGAGCTGCACCGAAGCGACCAGGGGGTGCGTTCACATGCGGTTCCCCAGCGCTTTTCGGCGCACCCCTCCCTCGTGTCGTGGCCCCTCAGGGAGCTTCACCAAAGTCTCCCGAGGAGGAGGGGTCGCACGCGGTCTCCACGCCCACGTCGGCACACCTCTCACACGCCCCGTGGCCCTATAGTTAGGTCGGGCATGTCCTCCTACAGGCGGATTGTTGGGGGAAAACGAAAAAATAGTTGTGTAAACAAAACCCAGAATTTTCAAAACATAATCAACAATCGTCCGCGTACTTTTTCTGTTGTCATTTGTTGAACATTGCTCCTGTAGAGGGACACGCTCGACTTCACCCTATAGGGAGCTCCCCGTTCGCCCCACATGCCTCCCGGTGCTGACTCTTGCAGATGCTCGGG